TTTTTTCCATCAATTGCAGGTGTAGAGTCGTCTGAAGCTTGACGCTTCCTATTATTAGCAAGCTCGATTGAGGGTTGTGAAAGTTCCACACAGTCCATGGTAATTGGATGGGTAAGAGGTCCCCCACCATCAGGAGGATCTTCGTCTACACCCACCTTCATCGTTTTATTGATGGAGGTGGGTCATACAAAAACTAACACTCACCGAAACCACTCGTTAAACAAATCACAGGACAACACAAAAAGGAATATATACAAACTCAACACAGTTTGACGTTTAAAATTAAATAAAGAATTAAAACTAGCTCGACCACGTGTTTACCCAACCACAGATCGCTCGGCAAAGATCATCATATACTTGTTATAATTCTTTTCAGCTTCGTTACGCTGTTTAATGACGTCTGTACATTCTTTATCCGACCAAGGAGGGGATGGAATTTTTCCTGAAGCACTATTTTTTATAGGAAATAGCATATCAGCAACTTCCTTCATAACCATTATTAAACTATTCGAACATTGGTGCTCATTTCCGTGAGAAACAGGAGGTAGTTTTGAAATCCTATTGCCTACATATTGTTTAAACGTCACCCAATCTGCATTCATTAAGTTATATTTAAGACGAGGACCGGTTTTCCGATTTGGAGGAATGGAATGAGGTAAAGATAAAATAAGGGGAAAGTGATCACTTCCGAATGATGAGTAGTGAGGAGACCACGAAAACGAAGAAGCTAAATCAGAAGAACAGAGAGAATCAGAGAAATATCAGGGACGCTAACACCTTCATTTGGGCCAGTTCTACGTGTTGGTACACCCGAGTTAACTATACATAAGTTATGACTGTCGATTATACTTATAATTTTCTCACCGTAATAATTAGAGGTGGTACTGCCCCACGATTGATGTTGGGCATTAAAATAACCCATAATAAGAAAAGGTTTAGGTAAAATAGATATATTTTTTTCTAGTTTTGAATATAATTGAGAAGAGGGGGTAGGAATATATAAACTAACAAAACAAATACTATTTACTATTAATGCAATAGCATTAATTCCATTAAATGCAGGAAGGGAAAATAATAAATATGAAAGGGAGTTTTTGACCAATATGGCAACACCGCCATATCCGTCAGCTCTATCATCACGAAAACATGAGTAACCTGGAATCTTAAATGGATATCCAGGTTTTAACCATGTCTCTTGAAGAGCTATAATGAAAGGGGAAAAATTGTTTATCAAATAAAATAGATCAGATTTCTTATTTGTTATGCTACGACAATTCCACTGAATAATGTGGGCTTTGTTGTCCATTGTGAGTTGATAAAATTTGAGATATAACATTCAGGTTGGCAGCGTTGGACGGTGAAAAATTGGTTTGTGTCATATTAGATTGCGTCAAGAATTTAATTAACATAAATATAATATCAGCAACTGATTGATTATTAGTATTATTATTATTACTTAGTACACAGCCATTTGAGGGCGCAGGAATGTTATATTCATTAATTAAGGCATCATGAGCAGAACGATCATATCCGCGTTGTGGTTTCTGTGGAGAACGTGGTTTAAGTGTAACAGTTTTTTATAAGAAGATTGAATATGGCCTGATTCGTCTTTTTGTGGAGAAGATTAGATATGTGGTTTAATGTCTGAGTATAATTTACTGGTTGGAGGATGAAATTTCATAGCTTCAGCATATGAAACACAGAAAGAGAAAAAATAAAAATAGAAACCATGGCTCACACCATGGTTTCTTTAATAGCTTTTTGGCGGGAATATTCAGGACACTTCTTACTAATAGCGAAATGAGAACCATTACATAGAATACAGCATATTCTGTCTTCATCTGCTTCACATTTATCACCAGTATGACTTTGTTTGCACTTATAACACCTTGGATTTGAACGACACTTCATGTCCAAATCTACAACAATTGTAGCACTGTATGGTTGGATAAATGTATAGATCTACAGTTAATGATGTATAAAACATAAATATTCTTTTTGGCAAAATTTGCCCATCAAATGTTATAACAACTGTTTCAGTGTTAATAAAGTTCGTTTCTCCATCATTTATAGTCTTTTTTTTTATTCTACGTATTTTTAAAATTTTTCCACAACCTATAGGTACTGAAATATTGCTAATTACTTCATCATCTGTCCAGTCTTTAGGAATACCTCTTACAATACCCATGCGGGTCACATTAAAAGAAGGAATAAATGCATTATAATTATAGGCAATTAAACTACTGTGGTTTAAAAAAGAGTTAGCATCTAAAAAGTTTGAAAAAGCAAGAGCCAATCTGTTTCTTCCTATTCTTTTGAGGCTGCCATTCACAACATTATAAATCTTATTTGTATGTAAAAACCAACCAAATGCGATGGGGTGTAATGTTACATTATCTGTAGGATTTGTTTCATTTTTTTAACATGAACTACAAAAGGTGCTACATCTTCAGTATTGTACAAAGTCCTATTTACAGAAGTGGGTGAAGGAGTGGCTTTTTTGGATGTATTATTATTTTCAACTACTAGTTGTAAAATTATGAAGCTACTCACTACTGGTATTACATCTGAATTTTGATTGTCAATTACAGGTATTATTTCTAAATTATTTTTTTCCTCTTCGACACATTGACAGTCACTGTCTTTTAATTTTGTCTCGGTACTTTTTTGATGTCTCCTACGCTTTTTATTGCAGTGTTTGCTAATGCGGCGTTCGCCCCTTACTCGCTTACGTTTTGTGATTGTAATATTAGACCCATCAGTATCCATACTAGATTCATATAAAATATCAAAAGAATTGTTAAATGGAATATTTATATTTGCAGACACCTGGGGGACTGTTCCCCCAGGGTCTATAGGTGGGTCCATTCTCAATAGATATTATATATTAAAGTTACTTACCAATATTTGCAGCAACTGCTACTACTATTAATAAATATATAATTAAACAATTAATCTAGTCTACAATATATAAATAAAACTAATCCTTATATATAGTAAAATTAAATTAAACAAAAAGAAATCCAAAAAACACTCCCGGCGTTTCGAACATTTCCCGCGCTTTTTTCCATAGACTCCGTTCTCAGTTGACAAGTTCAAAAATCTTAGCTCAGTTATTATTATTTTTTTATATTATTTTTTTTTGTCTCGGTTTTCTCATCTTTGTGAAAGGCAAAATAATTCAACCCATACAGCCATTGCCTTCAGTGGTATGGAAAACTAAACTTCTAACGTTTTTACAAATCTATCTCTTCAAATGATAATATTACGTATTCACTATTCAAATATACAGTTATAAGTTTGTATGTTCTTCAATGAACTCTAGTTGGAGTACGAGGTCTCCACATTATAATATTATTTTATCAATTTATCAGTAAATATGAAGTGCTGCAATGCGAATTGTTGGCAATCACAGAACACAGTGACCCAGTAACTGTACCTCATAAACCATTTGTTTTATTTTTTTTATGGAATCTTCCCTCTTTTGTTGCCATCTAAACTCAATAATTTCTTTTATATCACTGTATTGTCTATAAGTATACGAATAAATCAGGGATTAGTATTAAAACTTTTTTCCTTCTTTGAATTTCACACTTTGTTATGAATTAGCAAGTTTATTAGCTTTTGCGTTGCTAACAACACCGACGTGAGCTGGTTTCCAGAGAAGGTTAAGAAGGTTAAGAAGGTTGTCCTTTTTAAGATATTGTTTAAAGTCATAAATTTTCTAATATAGATATGACTTAAACATACCTTTCGTATTTCGTACCGTAAATCATGATCAGTAAGACGCTCTTCAAGTGCAGTGGTATAACGAATATCCAGATTCAGCTATAGATGTATATGGTATTTCAATTTTATAACTGAAACCGTATATCCTTTGTCCGTCCATCCATCACTACTCCGCGAGTTAGAGCCTAAAATTATCAATCATTTACATTCGGTCATAAACTTCTAATATGATTTCCATAGTTGTATTATGAAGCCTAGTGACCGTCAGATGCGGTACCGAGGGAGGGTGGATTGGCAGAACCCTCACAAACATAGAAAAAAATCTGACAAAAATAGATATTCGGCGCTATAAAAGCAAGAACTATCATTAAAAGCATGAACAACTTAAGCCGACACATCTGTATTAGATAATATTGATGTTAGAAATCACAATTTTTCACAGCAATTACAAATAATTCGGGTCTGATATTTAGATATTTCCGCTTTCACTTAATAACTCTACCTAGTTCTCCCGCCATGCGCCACGGCTCATCCATGGGTGACACCGGAATACGGGATACGCCTCCACCCACATCGGCTCCTGTAGTGTTGATGACAGAATTGAACCCCTACGACTGCCACCAACACAACAACACTACAGAGTCTTAATATAATATAATGAGCATTTATAATGAGCCTATTAAAAAAAATATTATAGGTACTGTAATATTCACCTACATATAATTTTTATAAATAAAATAAAAATACTGCTTCTTCACAAAAACATGTATTTTCGAGTTACTTAGAGTATATATATATATATATATATATATATATATATATATATATATATATATATGTTTTCTATTTTAAAAGAAATTATATATAAATTAAATACTAAGGTATATATAGTAACATATTTTAATGTTTTAATAGGTATCAACCTTTAAAGGATTATTACTGATAAAAAATATTCAAAGATCTTTATTTTGATTAAATTACAAATTATTAAAAATAACAGTTAACATTATCTAATAGGAATGTAGGTACTAATCTAAAAATTATTAAAGTAATATTTTTCCATTGTCTTAATCTCAACAGACAAGTTTACAGAACCTGCTTAAGTCCTTAACGTAACGTGAACATAAGTCATCAAGCTAATTAACGCATTTAAATCTTATGGCAATAGACATTAGGTAGCAGTTATTGTGTATTAACAATATTGTTATGCTAGTTGGAGACTAAAGTGTAAATAATAAAGTAATATAGGAACGACAGCCGTAACTTGTAGAGAGACGGGGTCGACTGAGAAACGCTCAGTAGTCAGGCAGACGTAATCATGGTTCCATTCAAACAAGTTGTGCTTTTGTGCTCCGCAATCCTTGCTGTCGCCACTGCTACGACCGTGGAACAGTGCCCTGGTGAGTCATGGATAAATAATAAATACATATTACTAAATAAGATATACCTGTACTTACTTAAGAGACAGTTACAACATCACAACACCATCTATCTACAGTTATGCAAGTCGTCTTTAAAAATGTTGTAAATGGGTAAATTAGATAATAGTTTAACTAACGACTGTTGTAAGTAATAACATATTTGTCCAGATTGATTTGATTGTTTTTATCGAACAAAATATAAATTGTAATTACAATAATTTCTGCCCATCACACTTAGAACGATTCTACAATTACCTATTTCATTGCTAATTAGTATTTACGTATATTTAACTTGTTTGTCCTCATGTATGTAGTACTCAGAATATCACACTATAGTTATCTTAACGAACGACATATGTACCGACGTAGGTAGGTCCATATGTCGTATAATTATTATCCGAACTGCATAGGTATAACTGATTTAAAGTGGATTTTTGTAACCAATTAATGAGTATGTACCTATTACCTACTATTAATATAAATGATATAAACTATTACCTAGTTCCGTTTGGAAATATAGAAAAAATGTAAGGATGAAATAAACGAAAACAAACAAAATTGAATTTTATAGTACACATAGGCATCATTAATAAATCGTAGGTAGGTACGGAAACATTCCGTTTTATCTGTTTAGTCCGAAATCCTAAAAATAAAAACTGGTTTTGTAGTGCCCAAACAAAAGTAAAATAAATATTAAAAGTATGGGGACTCACAAACTCTAGCTAGCAGCCCTGCTTTGTAAAGCTGCCATTTCTAACTATTCCAAAGAAACATTTGTTAGTTTTCTTACTGTGGTATTGGATTGTCGATAGTTAAGTACCTATTTATGAGTTGCCGATTCATAATAAAGAGTAGTGTTAGAAGACAAACGGAAGAAACGGACTTTAATACACTGAATAATATACTCTAAGAATTGTAAATACCTATAAAGTGGTTAAATAAATAAGTTTAGTTAAATATAAAAAAAGAGATCAAGAAGTAGTGCATGCAGAACATAGCAGCTTTCGCAAACTGCTATTACGTCGTACTTATTGGTACCACTTCTAATCCTGCACATAAAATGGAGACTGGTCATACTAAGTTCATCTAACGGGTCTTTAGTCCTTTAGGATGATATAATCATGAAATGGTTAAGTTACGCATTAGGTACGTATCATTACTTTAAAATATTATTTACTTATTGCACCAAATGTATTATGGAAGTGATATATTTGAAAAAAAAAAACATGTTTGGTTTATTTTCTCTGCAAAAGGGGTCGAAACGGGGGCGCTCAAAATTAGTATAGCATAATTCTAAATAATAAATAACGTGGTGGAATATCTAAACCTTTTCCCATAACCTGTTCCGTAACGTAAATATAAATCTATATTTAATTATAGTGTCTGACACGTATTTTTCAGATTTTTACTAGACTACTAGCTCACTCGGTGTAAAATAATTATATTTTGTTATAGAAGGTAAAAGTAAAACAGGTACTATAACACTATTAAGTTATAAAACAACACTTGATGCTAAATCAAATGCTCTTATAACAGCTAGTACGATACCTACACTAATTAAATATACTATATATGCGGCCAAGGGTAACCACCGATAATTAACTATATAGGTAAAAAATAACAGATTATTGAAAAGTAATTGTCACTCCATTCACAACCTAGAAAAGTAAATCTAAATACGAAAAGGTATCTAGCATACCTATATTAAAAAATATCAAATTATTATCACTTTGATTATGTTTTTTCTTCACAAGTGATCTAATATAGCGAATCAAATTGTTGGGACCTAATAATTATGTAAGGGTATTTGTCTCAAAGTCATGTTTTTTGACAATTTACCTAGCTAGAAGTAATAAAGTTTCAAATTATTTTTATTTGAAACTTTCATATTAGATAATTCCATCACGTACCTAATGTGGCCCTGCACCTCTCCACATCCCAGGGTAAAAATCTAATGTTTTTTTCGATTTAGCACTGTCTTGTTGTATAGAATACACGATTAATACAGAATTCAAGTTAGTTAAGCGACCCGATTTCACATCATAATCATCTGACATCCTCATCCTTCACTAATGTATTCAGCGTATTCCAGTAGTCGTACTTCCAGTTTCATCCTGGAAATCATCAATTTTTATTTCTGGTGATGTCATCATTGCGCTGAGTGAATTTATTACAATCAGTGAAAATATTAGTTAAATATACCTACAGCTAATTTGCTATTATTAACAATCGTATGATTATAGGATAATAGGCATGACATCCAAATCCTCTGAAATGGCAACGGATGAGTGGTCTGACGGGCATATATATATATATATATATATATATATATATATATATATATATATATATATATATATATATATATATATATATATATATATATATATATATATATATATATATATATATATATATATATATATATATATATATATATATGGGTGACGGTTACCACTTACCGTTGTCGGTATCGTAGATCGTCATCTTGTTTACCATTCAAATTACTTAAAAGAAGTCACTGGCGATTTTCTAACTTGCTTACTCACCTTCAGGGTCAAGCGGTGGTCGCTATGAATATCGCTATGAAGCTGTATATTATGAAAAAATCGGGCAAGTGCGAGTCGGACTCGCTTACCTAGGGTTCCATTCAAATTTGAGATTACTTACCTACTTTTACTTTAAATAAAGACTAAATGAAGTAATTACAACTGTATATCCATTTTTTTACATACTGTACTTTATAACTTGTATTTTCTGTGGTGTGTTAGATATGGCATTTTAGTCTATTTACTTGTATCGTATAATGCTGTAATTAATTCGGATTATTGTATCTGGATCATCAGCAAATTTTATTTAGTAACACTATTGATATATAATTATGGCATAGGACAATTCAATATGATCATTATCAAAGGACCGCAGACCAGATTATGATTTTATTAGAATTGTAACTTGATACCTCTCCGCGATCCCAAAATCAAGGCTTACAACAATATACCCGTTTGTTATCAAATTCTAAAACGTAGATGTTTGTTAGGTGAACAATTAGCGTCGACCACTTAATTCTTCTTGAAATAACATTCAAAGTTAGAATTGTGAAGTCACTAGCGGACTCATATTTAACAATAACGTGACCCTAATCTGTGTTTGTATGTTTTGCACAAATAATATTTTATAACTGAATAATGGAATTAATTTTTAATAATTTGCGAATATCCAAACAACTTTCATACAGACATGCAACATCTTACGTGTAACACAAATACACACAATAATTCGTATGCAGAGCATATACAGAAGTATGACGCATAATATCAGATACCACGATTCTAACATCATTTGAATTCAAAATTTAAGTTAACTATAATATTATTAACATTGAATGTTATTCGAAACACGATTCTGCGAATGAAAAATGTAAATAGACTCTAGGAACTTCCGTTTAGTGTACTCGTAATATTTCATCTGCACAAAATATTATAGAAGTGTTTAATAATAACACTTCATGATATTCTATATAATTAAATAAAGTTGTTAGTAGGTAGATATATACCTATTTGTAATTTCCAATACACAGCTTTTCACTAATGTACCTATACAATTAAAAAATATCTGTCAATATGTTTGCTATTCTTAATTATTAGTGTTGTTTACTCTTGTTTGTTTAGGTACTTGTATTTTAGAAAAAATATTATAAAAATAAACATTTTAAAACCATGCGGACTAAGTCGCGGGTAACAGCTATTTAGGGTATAATTATATTTGGTTATAGTATGTAATATTATGTTATCTGTGGTTATAGTGAAAATATATATAACAATTAGAGCTAAACCAAAACTAGTTTAGATATGTAGGTACAGATAATGTAAAGTTAATAGAAATACATACAATAAACCATTTAATTGTCTGCGAAGACGTTGAAACAATGTTAGAAGGACGACTGGAATGGTAGCAATTCATAGCATCACTCGTATATAGAGATTAACAGCTTCACGAATATTACGTTGATTGACCTGACGACCGAAATGTCAATAGTGACATTTTGGTCGTCAGGTCAAAGGCCAATATCGACACTAGCATATAATAAAGGCCTTTACTATATGCTAATGTCAATATTAGCATTATTCGATTAATTTTAATATATTTTTTTAATTATGAGAAAATTAATCATGAACCTGTATGAAGATATTCCCTTGGAGGTGTTTTGAACAGAAATTTTAACGAATTTAAACAGTTGTTTAAGTTATTTTTAGAAGAGGCTCTAAAAAAATAGATTTTGTAGATGAGCATTTTTTGCCTCATTTTTCATTGCTGATCCGTCCCTCGTGGTGTTATATAGCCTACAGCACTGTGCCTATTGCCACATATTGTGCCCACTGCTGTAGGCTATATACCTTTCTAACACTGAAAGAATGTTTAAAATTGGATCAGTAAAATCGGTGATTATCCCAAACAAACAAATATATTTATCTGTTTGTATTATTAGTATAGAGTTTTAATTACAATGCAACTATAGGGAACAACGCCCTGCAACGGGTGATAGCGCTAAAGTTCGGTAGACAGAAAAACAAAATTAGCAAATAGGCCATAGCCCATAGGAACTCCTATTTGCGCTATTGAGTATTGAACACTTGCTTTCTTGAGAGAGCTCTATCCATAAAGTAAAAATAAGTGTTCTTGAAAAAGAATAATTAGATATATTTGCTATATATCTAATTATTCTTTTTCAAGAACACTTATAAAGCCTGTATGTAGCATTTCTGAATTCTCATCGTGAAGGTACATTTCTATACATACCCACATATACATTGTTTTATTTTTAATTCACAGACAAGTCTATAGAGAATCTTTCGGAGAATGTACATCTCAGTCCGTGTAAGAAAACACCCTGTCTTTTAAGAAAAGGAACTAACCAGCACATCACTGTACATTTTACACCAGGTAAGACTGCTCACATACTACCTATCTCTTAATGTTATTTATATAAAGTGCAATTTATACGCTAACTGAAGAAAATATGTAGTAGCATTCGCATATAGGTATTAAAAAATATAATATAATATTATAAATATGTAGTTTAATTGCGATATCTCAGTTATCTTTCTTGCGAGTCCGAGTTCATTAGATACCTATATATTTTTGAACTCATCAGATATGGCAAATATCAAATAAAATAATAAGGTAGTGATAAATGTGCAAAATCCCGAGGTAACATCTCTATTTCGAGTTATAAATATAATATTTTCATACAACATAGTATCTTCCCTGTTTCATTTTTAAGTAGGTATCATTTTAAAATTGTCAACCCAATGAACACATTCTGCAGATAAAATACCTACCTACATATCAAACCGAATTAGATATGTAAGCTATTTTCTGCAATGAATGACTTCCTATAAACAATCATGTCTGTGTGCTATACGAAGCGCCAATGTATTAATTATGTAGCCCTAAAAGCAGTACTAATTGATACGTATATGTATATTGACTTCAGAAATAAGTAAGTTTGTGTGTGTGTAAGGTAGTACCAATACCTTACCGTGTAATTTTTTCGAAATCAAAATAAAGCGTTTAGTGTTATATTAATTAAAGTATTAATTTAGAATTGCAAATTGTAATTGTTTACAGACAAAGATATATCAGTAGTGAAGAATCACGTCACAGCTGAGGTATTTGGAGTACCTCTACCATTTGTTGGGGTGGACGGTAACTCTATTTGTGACAAAATAACAACGGAAGATGGTGAGAAGGCATCGTGTCCTTTAAAAGCAGGCACCAAGTACACCTACAAAGATTCCTTCCCCGTTCTCAGTTTTTACCCAACTATATCAGTGAAAGTACACTGGGCACTAATGGCGGGAAAAAGTGAATTTATGTGTTTTGAAATACCTGTGAAAATTGTTTAATTGATTCATTTTGTTTATTTTTATATTTTTATACGACAATATATGGAGATAGGTACTTTATATAAAAAACTACGAGTACTACTACTGGTATGAGTCTTAAGCTTGTATCAAATCCAAATAAGAAATTGCGTAGGAACAGCTTTTTCCAAGTAAACAGATCAGGTGCTAAGGGTATAAATAAAGACACAAATAAAAGAACCTATTCATATAAGTACACAATAAATTCCAATGGAAATAACTGTATTATTTATAAGTTTTTTTAATTTGCCGATATATATATATTTCTTTTTAAAATAATTAATAAATTTCTAATTAATCCTAGTTATAGTAAAATTAAAATTAGTAACTTAAATAGGGACAAAATTTAGAAATTGCGTATGAACGTAAACACTCCGTTGACATTCTTTTCTACTCCTGTGGATTAGAAAAGAAAAGAACTTGATGTTAACGAAAGTTTGTGCAACCAACTACCTTAATAATAGATGGTTATGGGTAAACTAGACTAGTACGAGTATCAGCAAGCTACATTGGAAAGCTGTCCCACCAAATAGAAAGCGGTAGGTAATAAACAGTGATCCTATGGATGTGGCATGGTAAGTAACCGTTGCTTGCTGTATCTATAAAAATAGGGAAAGGCAATGTGAACAACCTTACAAGTTGTTCACTAGTTGCTTTGTTGTCAATCCTATTTTAGTTCTACAAACTTAGGAGATCAGTTGACAATTTTTTTATTGCCATATTCGTAGCTGGATATTTATTTACAGATGACGTACCTACTTGTGTGTACGTCATCTTGTGTGTATGTCTTGTTGTGTTTGCTTACAAATTTACGAACCTCCTATTCTTTGAATAATAAACGAATATTCTAATGCTTCATTTTAATTTCAATTATTATGTGGTATTATAAATAAACATCAACTAACTATTATAATATCATGTAAATTGTATTCATTAGGTACAATGTATAACAATGTAATACACTTAGTTTTTTGTAGGTACCTACCAAATACATTATTCATAAACTTTACATTATAATTACGTACATTTCAATATTTGTATTCATATGTCATAATTTGATATTGATATAGGTATGTAGGTAATAATATACATTAATAATATTTACTGATATAAAAGTTGACTATAATATATAATAATAGGGCGTTGTTAGTAGGTAAACAATCAGAGCTGTAAACCATAAATATACTATGACCGACGAAATATCATATATCTGGCCAATTCCAAAAATTTTGTGTGACTATTTATGCTTTTGACAGACTCACTGATGATAGAAATCTATACCAACTTTATGCTAAATATCGGTAAGCCCCTGTTGAATTCATCAATAATTGACAATCCATCTGACATCTGAACACTGGATAAAGAAGGAAGGTATGTACCTACGATGATTGCGGGTACGCTTCCTCGCACGACGTAAACATTTGTATTCATTAGCATGATTGTTGGTATTGTTGTGGGTTTAGTTATTGTATGTATATTATGTATGTACCTACTTACAAAAAAATATTTAAGTATTTCTATCAATTGTGTAGTACCCATATCACAAACTTGTCAATTTGGTACAAAACAGTCCAGAGTTATCATTATTTGAAAAATGATTCCGTCATTTTTTAAACTACATTTATATCACACGGATATAATATAAATGTAAATATATAAGTTATACACTAATAAACTAAAGTTACGCACTCACAACATTTTTCGAATCTCTTTTTAGTATTAGTGGAGATTTATATCTCGGTTCTATACGCACAAAGTCGAGAGGTTATATGCGAAAAATAGAGTACAATGTAGTGTAGGTAGTAGGTACAGTAGGTATTTGGATAACTATTTATGGGAATTTAATGAACGTAAGCACCTACTACGATTACGCATTCGTTCATCCGCAAATCTTCAGGGCGAGTACCACACATTCGTCACAGGCAGCGTCTCTCCTCGCACCACAAGGAATTTTTAGAGTTTATTTACATTGTTCTTAATTCGTTATATAGATATGTCTAATAATAGTAGTAAATAGATATCAAATTATTAGTCAGTATCTTTAACATTATAACTCGTACTTATAAAAAATAAGGTCAAAAGTTGCTAGCAATGAATATAAACGACTTTGTTATGTAAATATAGACTAGAGTAAATAAATAACATTTTTATACGTTACTTCCTTTGTCACAAAATGAACACAAAAGGTTATATGATTTTAAAGTTCCGTTTCATAAAGTTAAAAAGGAAATCAGTTCATAATATGTGGCATTACATAAAAGATAGTTTGAAATATTTGCGGTTCCATTAAATATTACATTACTCTAAATTTAAGATTTTTCTTAGAAAGTAGAAATTTGAAGAACATCTTTCAAATTTGACGCTCGTTCTGCTTCTGCAATAATATTCATGAAATATGTTGGAACTTCGCTTTTAAATTTTAAGCGATACACTTTAATGTAGTAGTACCTAATAATTGAAGAGTTTTACGAGGAAAATTGGTATAAAATAATTGTTACGTCTTTATAGAACAACTATTATATTTAGACAGCGCTTGTGACATTCTTTTAAAAAACAAATTAACTTTTTCTTTTTACAATAATCATCTAAAACATTTAAGAGATATCTTTAACCATTCCACGTTTCCGTTTCTAAAGGACCACAAACATCTGTGTGTACCTACCTATTATTTCCAGTTTCCTACTTGCTTGGCCCCTTAGCTTTTATAGGTAGATACAATAATTCGACTTCATACCTTTTTATTTTCTATTTTTACGTCGTTTAACATCAGCATTTGTTTTTAATTTTCTCGCCTGGATGTATTAATTTCCTAAGCCAATTTTCAGCATTGGATAAGAATACCTGTTTTTCAAATATTATCTAGACACGCGGTAGCGTGTCAAGCCGAGTTTCAAGTAAACTGGCAAGCAGCACCGTGTGTATATTTACACGAACCATTTGGAGCCACTTTTGACCCCCTCATAACTCAAAAACTCTTACACACAAACCTGTCAAATTTGGTTCATATATTGAGACTTGCGAGATAAATATGTGTTCCAAATTTCATAAACATATCTCAAACGGTTATTTAGATATTAATGTCCAAAAATCGTCATTTTTATCACTGATCAACTATAGATCAAAATTATAACCCACTTCCAGATGACCTAGGAAGTTCAAATTTGGCATGCAGATAGGTAATTAGGTGAATATAAAGGAATAAATCTGAAACTGGTAAATTGTTATCTATTTAGTACAATTTTTCACTTTAATTGATTCTATTTCAACTTACACTGGACGAATACTAAAATTCTATGAAAACGTCGATAGCCACCAATTGACATTGATCCCTGGCGAAAATATCTCATCTTGTACTGGACGGAAAGTAATATTGTATGAAAACGTCGATCATTACCAATTTACGTTGACCCCTTCACATCAGTGTCGATAACTAGCAAACTTCAAATATTGCATTGAGCGGTAAACACTAGTTGCTATAATTTAGATTCTGTCTAAAATATACTCGTACTTATAACTAGGAGTATAGTCGAATTTCGTATTTATTATGTTATTAACTGAGATTTGGTATTAATTATTGTTTCAATATTTAGCGCACATCGATAGTGTAAAATCATTATTTTTATAAATAATTATTAATTAATAGGCATTTCGGTATAGGGCGCCGCGGCGGCGCCGTGTGGGAGCGGTGCAATAAAACTCAATGTTTTGTTTCTCGATATCTAACCTATAAGGTTGCGATTTATGCTACGAAATTCATAGCTTTCTTAAATTATACTTATATATTTGTGGATATATTATTATTACATTATTTTAGTAAATACGTATGGTATAGACAATAGTTTAAACCAAAAATTAATAACAATTTTAGTATAGTTATAAGTAGGAATGTATAGTTAACTCGAGAATGAGAACTCATTGGTAACAAATTGTTTTCTTGAGAATTCAATAGATAACAGTCAATTTGTTACATAATCGTCTTTACAAACTATAACGTGTCAATACGAAGTTTCAGATATTAAATAATGTATATGTTGAAAGAGAACAATTCCGTATTTGCTTAACATATGCTATTACTATCCACAAATCACAAGGCCTTAGTTTTGGCAGTCCTCTTCTCAACATAGGCTCCTCTATATTTAATAAAGAGCAGGTTTACGTTGGACTCTCCAGAGTTAAAACCTTAGATGGAGTACGTCTTAACAATTTAGATCCAAGTCACGAGAGCTCTATTGTAGAGTACAACCATCTGTGGACGTTATACCGCCCCGATTTGCCCAAAAATTCCTGATACTGAATTGGCATTGCACTTGAACATTTAAAAGTTACAAGAAAATATAGAAAATAACACAAAAAAAAGACAATTATACCCCGTAAATATACAAAAATACAGTAATTTATCAAAAATAATTTGGTATTAATTTAGTTATAAATAAGTACCTCGTATAATTTATGTACAAAAAGTAATGATATCCCATCAAAAACATAAATGTAAAATGATAGCCGAGTTTAATATTATGATATATGCCTTGATTGTTGACTTTTACGACAAAAGAGATGAGATCTAAATGGGTGCCAGGTTCAATGGTCTGTCCTGAAATGTATTTATAACAATATAAAATATCATTTCTTCTTATAACTTAGGATAATATACTGTAGCCTAAGGTCTAACTTGGCTAGTTTTCATATACGAAATATACTGTAGCCTTCGCAAGTTCTAAACATGTTACTTGTCGGTTCCTATTTTAATATTAGTAGTAACTAGCAATCGAAAGTAATAATTGGTATATGAGAACTGGCCAAGTTAGACCTTAGGCTACAGTATATTATCCTAAGTTATAAGAAGAAATGATATTTTATATTGTTATAAATACATTTCAGGACAGACCATTGAACTTGGCACCCATTTAGATCTCATCTCTTTTGTCGTATTTCTTTATCCAGTATTACTTACTACAAATAAGGCATATAATAAATTTCTACGCATATCGTGTATGTTCATGTATACATTACACACACACACACACACACATATATATATACATACTTCCTACAAATTATGAAGGAAAGGGTTGGTATACAATAAATGAAATGGTAATATCTCAATAAAACTTTATTTTGATGCTTGAACATTTTCAAATAAATACATAATATAGAGATCTATAAAACATAAATGTCATACTGGATAACTTAAGTCACGCCACTAAGATTTTTCATTGGCTAATTCATTAACTAATACGCACACACTATCAGGTAGAGGTAGTAATAATTTGTGGGTGGCATCCTCTAGCGTTATAAGTTTGTAGGTAATAAAGACTGAAAACTATTTTGTGGCAACATTCCCTTCTATTGGAATAGGTACAATAACAACGCGAATCAAGTGATTTAAAATATGACCATTACTGATGGTTAACTAACCGCTGGACACAACAGTAAAAAGACGGTATGCATGCATAGCTTGCATATACAATATTATACAATCATTTGCGTGTATGTTAATCATCATCACACTGTCAAATATTTATTACTAGCAGATTAAATAAATAATCGGGAGCGTAAGGTTAGTACTTTAAGAGGAATGTCATTGCTATCATTGCTTCGAAAACCATAAAGTTGTTAAACTTAGACTATTATTTACTAGATCTATTGTGTAATTATGCAACAAAAGTTTGGTACTTTTTGGCCATTTTCATGAGTTTACCCCTGGTGAAGGGGTGGATATAGGTATCGTTTTTTTCTAATGTATTTTTATTAAATAATAAATAACTCCGGCCGTTACGGTATGCTATAGCATTGCGTGAACCCAAACTTAACAGATCCTTTTACACTAGTCAGCTGAAACAGATAAATAAATACTCTTTTCAATATTATTAGATTTTATTTAAATGGGCTAGCAACAATTTAATTTTTTTGGAGGTAATGATCAGCCATCCCTGTCAGACTAAAGCTTAGTCAAGGCATATATTGGATGCTAAAATTGCGATGTCGATACTTGTGGCTATCGATAAGCCCTCGCATAGCGGTAAGTCGTATGTGGGTATAACAAGGACGGGATGCTTAAATACTGTACCTATAAATAAAAAAGTAGGTATACATTCTAAGGTAAGCAAATCCTTATAGGTATCCTTAAACATAAATTTATATCTGCACCTTTAAATTTTAATCTGGAATTTCCAGTGTCAAATGTAAACCTCAAAAATGCCTAAAATATGTGAGGCAGTAATTTAACCTTGCAATTGAAACACCAACAATAAAATTGGTAATAGGGTTGTTGAATATCAAACTTTGGTGATGAAATACTGCTTTTTTACACTGAGTATTAAAAACTTCATTAATCTCACATATTAAAAAAAACTTACAGTGCAAAAGATCATTCTCGAAAATAAACATTCATATGCCTAATTTAATACTTTCATTAATACTTAACTGATTTTAAAAATCAAAATCAACCTGTATTGTTTTATATATGACTAATACTAATAACAATAATATCCTATAGTTGATTGAATCAATCTACAAGCTATCTATTGGGTTTGCCATTTAATTGATTAGAAGTATTAATGGGTACTCGAAAAAAGGCATTTTTTAAGTTTCCGCAGTTAGAAGTAGGCGCCTCCATGAAATACTTTTCCATTTTATTCAAAAGAATATCTGTTGTATCGGTACCAATATTATACTCGTTAATTGCTCGATATATCGCCTGAAAAAAAAATTACCTTAGGTTGAAAATGAAGATTACCTGTTTATTAGATAGATTAGCTGTTTAACACTTTATGAAGATATATTTTTACCTAGAGTCAAACTCAATTGTATATATGGTATAATACCTACATTAACTGACCCGCGCGACTTCGTCTGCATCACACTTATATATCGCTCAATTTACATAATATATTTTTAAATTATAGCCTGTGTTATTCTGATGTATAAGCTATGTTACTATAAATTTTCATTAAAATCCGTTCAGTACTTTTTGCGTGAAAGAGTACAAACACCCATCCATACTCACAAACTTTCGCATTTATAATATTAATAAGATACATATTATATAACCTTAGCATATATACAGGGTTAACTCTAATACCGAACCTGAAATGAAACGTATGGTATGACATACAAAGATTACAATTACTATGATTATTTTATGCGTATAGGGTATAGATAAATTTAAGTACCTTCCTAATTGTTGTATAAAATACTGCTATGTAGAAACTAGCATGAGACAAAAACAGGAACGAACCTTAATGATTGCAAAAATTATAAATTACCAATGCACAAAATTTATTTTGTACATTCCGAAGATATTGCTTACCTCAAAGGCAGGTTGTTTATGACTGTGAAACGCTTTACGGCTTCCGTGGAGGAGGAAGATTCCTCTTTTGGTGGCGTCCAAGCAGGCGTCGCCGTACATACACTGGTCGGAGCGGTAGTTGTACCGACATGGTAGTACGAACACCGCGCGCTCGTGATAATGGAATATTATATTTATGATGTCCTGTGATGACAAAATGTTACCAAAATATAACATACACATGTAATTTATGTTGTTTACCCAAATAACATTAAGAAATGCACATAAGCAGTAAATGACGTTAGTAAAACAAATAAAAATTGTTCCGGTTTTGCGGCCAACAAATGACCTTCATAGCGCTTATTTATAATAGTATTTTTTATTGCAATTTTTTCCATTAGGTGTTTTCTCTTGAACTTATATTTTAACCACGCGTTCCGCGGTCTTAATGTAATACATATTTCAAATCACAATTTCAATCTGCATATGTTTCACTATGTCCTGTTTGATGCTGTCATTTTTTTTTTTTTGATCCTACTTAAACTATGCAGAACAATTACTTATTTTTATTACGTGTTTCTATACATATTTTTTATTTATTATTCTACCTATACACGTATTTTCCTGTAATTTCAATGCTCATTATATAATAGTTGCAACGCTATGTAACATTATTGTTTTTATGATGGATGTAATTATTTTATGTAATTTAATTCTCGCGTTTCCATGTCTGTATTTAGTTGAGTAGTCTACCTATTGATTGGCATAATAAGAGACTATCAAAGCAAGAGAACTTCTTGTCCCACCAATCAACTATATTTATGTAGTATAAGAAGTCTAATCTAGACGTCTGATAAACAATCCCAACTAGTACAACCACAGAAAATAAAGTAGTGTACATCGGTGGTGAATGATAATAAATACTCTAGCAAAATCAATGCTGCTTTAATATTGTTGTATATTAACATTTTAAATATACAATGTCATCTGAACACATTTTGAGGTTGCGTTAGTTACATACATATATAGTATGTATATATATATATATATATATAGAAGGTGCTAATTATGAACATACAGAAAATAAATAATATACCTGTATATATAACATCTCTGGCTACCATCTTGAATAATAGATCAAAGATATATTTTATATTTACTTAGTAATATAAGTAAGGAATTAAGATAAGGTACCTGATCTCCCCAAGGAATATAAAGCTTCCATTTCAGCATGATGGGAGTGACATAATCAACCCAGCTGAAGGTTCTCATACGCGTTAAATTCATCAACATCACACCAGAATTCACACCTGTAAATGCAATAATTGCCTTTATCTAGAACTACAGTAATTTGTGAGGAAGGGGATTGTTAGAAATGTGGACTGATGTCCCCATTGCTAGCAATGTACCATGTTAGATTGACCTCCACGCCATCTCCCCTGGTAACCATCATGATACATTACTGATAAATTTATTACTCATAGTATGATAGCTATTTACCAACAGATGGGCAAAAAAGAAGTGATAAGGTCTGCCTATGGGTTAACTGACCTGACCTCATCCTCCACTGATGCACCGCCAGTGTAAACTGATAGTGTAGAAGATTAAAATGGGAAAAAGATCTAATTTTAAAAATATTTTATAAAACAATTTTGTAAGTATGTTAGTACTGTCAGTGGAATATTGACTAACAGCTATGTTGATTATTTGCAAATAATTTATGTATGTTAAAATGTAATCTTCCTAATTGGCATTGCAGTGGGGTTACACATGCAAATAAGTGGGTAATATGCTCTAAGCACCAGTGACAAAATATGTAGGCTAACTCTATAGAATAAGTATATAGAACCAGAACAGTTTTCTGTTCTACACACCTATAAAAAAAGATGTTACCTTTTTTTAAATTATTACAGTATTACTATTATTGTGAGTCTGTATAGGTATTTGTGAAATTACAAACAGACACCTGAATGTTATTCATTGGTATAAATGTTATATAGATAAAACCTTGCTTTTCAACATATTATCCCAAAAAATATATTTTTTAAACACTTTCCCTGGATAAAATTAAATATAACTGCATAAAACTTCTTACATGTATTTGTTAAGAACATTTCTGCTTACTATTTGCTTTTGAAATTGTCTTTCGTTTAGCATATAATACACTGTGTAGTATTAAGCTCTAATAATAATCTGAATTATATATTTACCATATTTCCCATAAAATGGATGTTTCGCAAATCTAGGATACCAAGACACATTTGGGTTGTCATCTTCCAATGCCATTGCAGATATCTGAGAGCTATTAAACTGGGAGAAGTAACCCCATAATTCATCCGCAGGTCCTAGGAACAATGTATCTGTATCCACATATATCATGGAGTCTATGTGAGGTATTAGTTTCTAGAATAAAAATCTCAGTTGAATTTCCATTTCTTAATTCTTAATACATAGTATAGAGTTGTACATAATTTGTTCAGACAAACATTATAATCATAATATATTTTTTTTTTATTTTATTTATATCATGCAATCAGTCTTCCAGACTATAAGCAGATTTGTTGACTATCTGATATCGTGAGAGGTGATTCTCCATTGAGAATCCAGCCTCAGATATTCCAGCTTAATATATAGAACTATATAAAATTTTTCAATGTCTCTTAAAAACCATTGTGTCAATAAATAAAAATTGTATATTTTTACCGGAATAAATAGTCTTTGAGCAGCGCATTTACTGAATAGATTCATCCAATCCTCCTTATGGGCCTCTGGAAAATTTATTTTGTGTAATTCAAACTCCAACTGATTTTTAGTCATAATTCTCCATTTGCTCAATGTCTCATTGAATTTTGGCCTTAAGTTTTCATCAGTAAATATAACAAAGTGTACTGGTGTCTTTGTAAATATTAATACAGATTTCACAACATTCAATGATTCATTGTATCTTGAGTCACAAACTACAAATGACAATATTATTCTTTCCACTTCCTTTTTAAGTTGCACTTCAACAGCTCTAAAAAGAAATAAATTTATTGTTTTATCAGAATATAAAGGTGCTGATTTACATTTTTAGTCATTATAATAAATTACAACTTACTATACAACAATAAATTTGTTAGTTTATACTAACAAATTGAATATAGATAACAATATTATACTAAGAAATATCACAAACTACATTCAAAATATAGTCATTTATAATTTAGATTAAAATAAAGTAAGTTAGTTACCTTGAATAAGGTTTCTTGTCTAAATTATTTGTATAAGTTTTGCAATACAAACAATATATACTCAGAAAACTCACAAACAATAAAACACTAAGTTTCCACAGTGCTAGTTTCCTCATTATTGAATTATTAAATAAATTTGAATTATTTAGGCATTATGGTATTTTTGCATTATAGTCAAAAATAATAACAGATTGACGCATACAGGTAAGCTAAAGAAATCAAAACAATAAACTAAAATTCTTGATTATTATTTATTTAGTTCTTATATCAAAAAATATTATGATAACTTTGTCCACCAAACAGAAAAACAATTATAGTATACATCTATATCTAGTAGAATTGGATAGTATTTTAAACAAAACAGATTTATTACATATATTAAAAATATTAAAAACAAATAATTCAACAGATCCTACACATATTTTTAGAACAATACAGCAGACATGGCAAGATTATTGGAAAAGAAAAACTATTTAGCTCACTGGAATAACTTTTAAATTCAAAACAGATCAAATGAAACATAATTCTATCATTTTATTATTTAATTCTAAAGTTAGTTTAAAATACAAACAAATAAGACAACATACTTCAAAAATCAAAATGAAGTTGCTTTATTCTTAAATTTTTACTGGGCTGGAAACAAGGTAATTTTTTAAACTATTTATTATTCTATAATTTAATTTTAAAACATTCACACATTACTTAATAAAATAGCTAAATAAGCAAGTTGGAATAATTAAAAACTATTAGGAATATGAAAAACAAACACCTTATTACGCTTTGCTTTGACATTAAAACATACTGAAGGAATCGTTATTTTTAATAACGATTCATTCATTATGTTTTTTTGCTGTTTAAATTTAAATTAACCCTTAGTCACTATCCTAACAATATATATTTATTTCATATTTACATCGTAAATAAAGCGTCATATATTTATTGATAAAGTAATCAACTAGTATCAGTGAAGAAATAGTAACTAAATGTACTTAATCAACAGGCTTTTTAAAAGCATAGATGTGTTGTTTAGTTTGAGTACTTTTGTATGCTTTTCGTTTAAGAAATAAGCACCCTTTAATATTATAAATGTTATGATATTACAAGGACATTGCTTCCAGATCAGTGTAATTAATGTAAAAAAACTATTAAATTATTTTTATTCTTGAAAATTATATCTACTATTTATATGAATAAAATACTTTTTTCACCAATCAAAGATAGCATTATATATCTATTGCAATAATGACTTCTAATTCTTCAGAAGAAGTAATTAATGAAAAAATTCTAAATATCGCAAAGAAAAATCCCAAAGGTATAACAGATAAGGACATCGCAGCTGCATTACCTGACCTTTCTTCAGGAGAGCGTGTAATAGTGATAAATAGATTATTACAGCAAGGTTCGATAGATTTGTTCAAACAAGGTGGTTCATTAATATACAGGTGATACATTTTTATCAATTTTTGAAATATATATTCTATAATTTTAATACAAGAATAAACTATTGTATTTTTCCCTCTGTTCTATAACTATATATTTTTAATAAATTATTATTTTTATTTATTCACTGCTACTACTTGAATAATCAATTGTCTCTGTTTTATTACAGATTAAAAACACAGATAAATAAACAAGCTGTAAAAGGTGCAGACAATGAAGAAAAAGTAGTTTTTAATCTTATTGAAGAAGCTGGTAACAAAGGTATATGGATTCGGGATATTAGGGTTCGCTCCAACTTAGCAAATACACAGCTTAATAAAGTTCTCAAAAGTTTAGAAAGTAAGAAACTAATAAAAGCCGTCAAATGTGTTACTGTGAGTTAATTATCTAAATATATATTAATTTACTTTAATAACTGTTATTTCACAATTAATTGTAGATACATATTATGATGTTTGCTTGAAATTATTTACCTCCTTTTATTTCAGGCTTCAAAGAAAAAAGTATATATGCTGTACAATTTAGAACCAGATAGATCTATATCAGGTGGGGCTTGGTATCAAGATCAAGATTTTGAGTCTGAGTTTGTGGACATTTTGAACAGACAGTGCCTTAGATTCCTGCAGCAAAGGGCAGACCAAATAAAGAACAATCCCCGTGGACCAATTCTTGGAAGGACACAGTCTTATGCCACTGCTGCAGAAGTACAAAAATATATAGCTGATTTAGGAATTAGTAATGTATGATCACATTATTTTATTCTGTAACATAAAAATAAGTAACATCTTGTCATAACAGTACTCATCTATCATGCAGTAGTTCTTCCTGACTTCTAACTGTAAGGTTCATATTTATACTAGTGATCTCATAGTTTGTCAAATAGGATTTATATTTCATAGCCAGGCTGTTACTAATATTTTGATGAAACTGAATACAACTGGAGATATAATCAATAATAGACCTTACAGAATAAATTGAACTGGCTGACAGACAAATGTTAAAAGTTTGAAATTAGTATATTCATTGCTAGCATAAAATAGGTTACTAAACAATACTGACTGACTATACTAATAATACCCTCCTCCCTTATACTATGTATTATTTACCTTTATTAGAAGGGAGGGCACAGCAAGATGTATTTCGATACATCTTGCTCGACTTGGGGCGGCCCGAACTGGCATAGTACCTCCACTAAGCGGAAAACCACAGCCAAACAGTGCTGTACTTGCACTACACAACAGCACTGTGTTCCTGTGGTGAGTAAGGTGACCAGAGCCCCATGGGGATTGGTTGTGCTGGTATTGGTGGACCTGTGTGTCCAACAGTGCCTCGGGATTGCATAGGCGTGAAGTGGCGGCGCGGCGTTCAGGTAGATCCCGTGAAACGGTTAACTGCTGGCCGCCTGCAGGTTGTTGGGTTCCCGAACCCAGGGATTATATAATCTCCGCCCTGGGAGGCTGAACCGCCGCCTGTGCATAATCCCTGGTGAAGTAGTCGTGCTGGAGGAGGAGACCGGAGTGGATCCGGCTACTACACCAGTGGGGCGACCTTCCGGTCGCCGTGCCACCAAGTCGCCCAACCTGTGCAATGCTGGGATGCGTTGATACACCTTTTGTCCTTTCTGATACCGGTGCAACCACTCCCCTTTAACCTTAAAAAAAATCACCCATGACCAGAAGCAAAAAAAGGAAATGTAGTACTTCAGCGGCACCCCAATCCACATTAGATATGGATTTCTGTAACATCAGGGGCCTTCACGGAAACGTCAATGCGGTCCACCAACACCTTGAGACCGCCAAGGCGACCCTTTTATTCCTTAAGGAAACCCAGATATCCTCTCCGGCTGATACTTCATACCTACTATACCCTGGGTATAAACTCGAGCATAAATTTGTACGTCGTGCCGGGGTATGTTTGTATGTCCGGGGGGATATCTGCTGTCGCCGCCTTCTTGGTCTAGAAGACAAAGACCTGTCTGTTCTATGGGTACGAGTAGATCAGGGTGACTACACCGGCATCTATACGTGCTTGTACAGGTCTCATAGCGGTGACGAGGATACGACCCGACTCTTTGAGCACCTTCAATTGACGTCTGATAAAATTCTTGAACAGTGTCCCTCCGCGAAGTTAGTGATACTTGGAGACTTCAATGCCCATTACACCGAGTAGCTCCGTTATCGGCTCATCGACCACGCGGGGAGAACTGCTCACGAGTTTGCTCTGGCATATGGATTCTCACAACTGGTGCTTTCTCCAACGAGAATACCAGATCAGAATACTTGATCTTCTGCTGGCTACACATCCGGACGGATATTCAGTGACCGTGGAGGCACCACTTCGTTCTTCAGATCACTGTCTTATCCGATCCCAGGTACCGTGCACAAGTCCTGCCACATCCCGACCTCCGTGTCAACGTCGCATGTGGCATTACAAGTCAGCAGATTGGGATAGATTGCGAGAATTCTACGCATCGTACCCATGGAAGCAGTACTGCTTTGCATCAGAAGACGTCGATATCTGTACAGCCGCCGTCACTGAAGTCATACTTGCGGGTATGGAATACTGTATTTCAAACTTTCTTGTTGCTTCAGGGGCGAAAAAGCGACCGTGGTTTAGTAGGTCTTGCAGACAAGCCAGACAGGCTAAGCAAACTGCTTTTCAGGCACGGCTCGTTCTAACAATGATATTGTTAGAACGAGCGTATCTGATGCGAGGCAGAATTTAAATGCTGCATCTAGGTTTAGTAAGAGGGCAATTGCTAGAGCCAAATTCGACTTCGTCAGGAGAGCGACAAAGCTGCCGAAGGTAACTTTTGTCAGTCGTCCTTACCATCACTACGGAAGCCGGATGATAACTTGGCACTCAGTGCAAAAGAGAAGGCCGATTTGTTGTGCGCTCTTTTTGCCTCAAATTCGACTCTAGACGCTAGGGACACCATACCTACTACCATCCCATGGTGTGGTAGCTCTATGCCGGAAATATCCGCAATGGAGAGTCCGGCGAGAGTTACTGTCTCTTGATGTCAACAAGTCGAATGGGCCAGACGGCATACCGGCATTGGTGTTAAAGAAGTGTGCTCCTGAGTTGAGCTACTCACGCGCCTCTTCGCGTTTTCATACTCCTCTGGGCAATTTCCGCAATCATGGAAAACCACCCTTTTGCACCCTGTGCCAAAAAAGGGCGACAGATCAAACCCATCGAACTACAGGCCTATCGCTATCGCATCTCTAGTCTCCAAGGTGATGGAGCGTGTAATTAATACACAGCTCCTTGGATACCTAGAGGATCACGATCTATTAAGCGATCGTCAATATGGTTTTCGCCATAATCGCTCAACTGGTGATCTTTTAGCGTATCTCACACACCGCTGGGCTCTTGCCATAGAGTAAAGGTGAGGCGTTGGCAGTCGGCCTTGACATAGCGAAGGCATTCGATCGGGTTTGGCATCAAGGTCTTCTATCGAAATTGCCCTCGTACGGAATACCAGAGGGATTATGCAAATGGGTCGCTAGTTTTTTTGTCTGGCAGATGCATCAAAACCGTGGTAGACGGTAATTGCTCCGATAGCATGGACATTAACGCGTCTCGCAAGGCTCTGTTCTCTCCCCAACACTATTTTTGCTGCATATCAATAATCTGTTAACCACAGTTAACCTTCATTGCTATGCGGATGACAGTACCGGGGACGCATATTTCACGGGCCGTGCTAATATCCCTCTTTCCGTTGTGGAGGCAAAACGAACAGCTTGTGGCTGAAATCGAGAGTACTCTTACCAGAGTCTTCGATGGGGGGCGACTGAATTTAGTTCAATTAAATCCTACTAAGATACAAGCCTGCACGTTCACCGCTAAGAAAACCCCTTTTGCTGTGGCTCCTCAATTCCAGAACACGTCCGTTACCATCTCTAAGAGTATTGGGATTCTCGGTGTCGACATCTCTAGTACTGTTGAGTTCCGCAATCACCTGGAAGAAAAGGTAAAGCTGGCGTCCAAGAAGCTCGGTGTGCTCAATAGAGCGAGGCGGTACTTCACTGCGGACCAGAGACTTCTGTTATATAAATCACAAGTTCGGCCGCACATGGCCGCACCGCTCGCCATCGACAGGGAATTCATCCCCACACACTGGAACCTAAGTGGTCCCGAACAGTGCGGTTTCAGAGGAGTTTCCTCCCGCGTACACTTAGATTGTGGAATGAACTTCCTGCCGAGGTTTTCCCACGAGACTACAGCATAGAGTTTTTCAAAAAGGGTATATTAAGGTTTCTTAAGGGTCGGCAACGCGCAAGTGATACCCCTGGTGTTTCAGGCGTTCATAGGCTACAATAACCATTTACCATCAGATGGGCCGTATGCTTGATGGCCACCATTGTGGTATAAAAAAAAATGTTAAAAGAAAATTTCTCTCCATGTAACTAATTTTTTATTAAAAGTAAATTATATTTATATTTCTTTTCAGGTTAAGCTAGAAGTAGAAGATGTGATAACAATATTAAATACATTAGTGTATGATGGCAAAGCAGAAAGCACTGCATACCCTGATGGTAGCAAATTGTTTCGTGCAATAGAACCACTTCTACCTGCGCCCGGATTAGTTCAAGTACCCTGTGGAGTTTGTCCTCTTATACACAAATGTTGTTCAGTAGGACTGATTACACCACAAGATTGCATTTATATGAATGAATGGCTTGATTAATAAATTTCCCTCTCATACACATGTACTATTTATGTTGAACATCCCATATTATACCAACTTCTATTAAGAGTCAGATTCCACATGAACTACACTAATATCTTAGATGTAGTAATAGGAGGCATTATCAACTATCACACTGTTCACAGCATTGAAATGGACATATTTACCTTTGAATACTGTATATTTGAATACAAGCATTAAGATACTCATAACAATGCACCATATCAGGAACCAATCATAATGGCTTCAATGGCAATCGTGTGGACATCAATCTCAGTCCGCCTGATATGATAACTTGGTAGCAATGAGTTCATTAGTCCCTATTATTAATCTCAGTTTAACCAAATTACTAGTAAGTAATCAAAATAATATATAATATAATATAAATACTAGGAGTAAACTGCATTGTTCTAGTCAAATTAAAACGAAATGTATAATTGTAATTTATTAATAGTAATTCTAAACAATTACAACTTCATAAAAGTAGACTACAATAAATTAATGAATTCCAAAACCAATTCAAAATTTATACTCTATGTAATTCAAGAGTTCTATTTGATGATATTTTGTATCATGATGATGATTTGAGTATTCTAATTGATGATATATACAAATAATTACATATAATTATGTTATTAGTTATGTTTGCATTATTCTCAAAAATATGATCTATTAAAAAAATGTACGCCAATAATGCACCAAGTTTAAGAACTACAAAGAATATAAATTTAATTGGACTTTGATCCAAAACCATAAAATGTACCTAAGTGTATATTTATACATATTTACATGAAAAATTATGAAGCAGTCATGTTGCCTCTTGCCAATTTTTTTATAACACCTATAGTTGTGAACAGTACAATTTTACACTTTGTATTATATGTATAGGTCAATTTAATGACTATAATTTAAAATGGTTTATGGGCAGACTGCATATAACAATTTAAACGTATCTGCAATATGCTACCAACTAAATCAACAAACTTGTGACATGAGATATTAATTTATAAATATCGTTCAAGTGCTACACTTATATAAGCTTAAACATTATATTAATTAATAATGATTTTATATAAGTCACACGATATATAAGAAACTTGTGGGTACCGAAATTTTTGCATAGCGAAAACATTGTAGCAAAGTGACGTTTGGATATTTAATTGTTTATACTTGCTGATATTTATTATTTTTAATTTACTTTATTGTCATGACAATAAAGTGCCCATATAGGATATTTTTATCTTCATCATAAAGCAAATAATATAATTATTTAGTATACTTCCCTAATATTTGGCTAAAATTCTGGCATCTAGTAAGAGGGTAAATAATTTTAAAATAAACTTCTGAAATTATTTTCGATATTGTACAATGCTTGTGACAAAACCGCCGGCCCTCGCCGATGCTGCTGTACCGGCTTTTCTTCTATATATATATTTTGTTTACTACCATTATAAGGAAACAATGAACTTAAAACATCCATTTGAATATAGTTAAGAGACTGAAGAATTATTCCTTTGTTGGGATAAGGAGTATGTGGTAGTGGCATATCTTCATAGTTTCTATTATGACTAATATTCTGTGATGATGGTGATGCAGTTGGAGGCCCTGGTGGAGTTTGGTCAGATGGTGGTTCAGGTACAGGCTGTTTTTGTCCACCTAGAAAATATAAATATATATTTTTAGTTAGCATATATAACTTTGTTTCATATTTAGATTATTTTATAATAATATTTGTTTGTTGCCTGATTTAGCCTTCAATCCCCATCTCACTTTTTTTATAGCATACTTAGAAATTTAAGCCTAAGTTATATATTTTTACCTAAGCACTCGTAGAGCAATAAAGTACATCTGTTTCTTCATAACTTTAAAACTATTTATCAGAATTTTACAAAAAAGTTTTTTCAAACCTTTATTAAAAAAAACCATGTAGGTTACAACTATCAAACAACATTTTTTATTTACAGCTTTAAAAATAATTAAATGTAATCCAAACTTTCTCATATTTTATCTTCCAAACATAAGTAAGGTCTAAAGCTAAAGCCGAACAAATAAAAAACATGAAAAAAGATATTTTCATCTGAAAATGTTAACCTAGCCCATTATTTTACATTATCACATTATTATTTCTTTATCATTACTTCATAATAGTATTTTACTTTATTAAAATATTATCATTTAGTCCTATACTTTATATTTCTTTATTATTTCACTGCTAAGATATATTATCCTAGTTGGTGGTGAAATAATAATACAAACAGGAAAGACTGCTATTGAATAAAACAAAAATAAGTACATACTTATGGAATAAATAATTCTCTCCATTTCCCTGAGCTGTGTTTGCTGTTGTTGAACTCTGAAGTACAGATCTGTTATAGTAGTTGTGATATGTTGCATTTCCTCCTCCCTTTTACTTTCCTTTGCAGTTTCCTTTTTACTTTGCCTACAATACAACAAATTAGGTTAAATAAGTAACCTCAAAGAAATATGTAACAAAATGACATTAATAATGGATACAGGTACCTGTTGTATTCTATTATTAATAACCCAGCACCAATAACAAATATAACAGTTTCACCAAGCAAGTTAGCTCCTAATTCAATTGCCATTTCCTGGCTTAACACTGGAATATTAACAGGTTTACCCAAATTGAGAATCCACATTTTTGCTTTTACTTCACACCAGTTGTAAACTAAAACAAATGCATATATGATCAAAATCGGTTTATATGAATTACCTACATAATTCTAAGAGTTAACACTAACCATTTTGTACAAAATGTTCCTATACACCTATCTTTGTCTTCACAACATACTCATAATATAAAGGCGATGTCACTGTCTGTCCCTATGTATGCTTAAAACTTTAAAACTATGCAATGGATTTTGTAGTGTTTTTTTTAATAGTGATGCAAGGGGAAGGTTTATATGTATAATACATTTACACCCGTGTGAAGCCGAGGCGAATAGCTAGTGTTATATTAAAAATAATAACTAATATAAAAATTTTATGATAAAAATGATGTTTTGATTATTTATTTTTATTAGAACAGTAGAGAAAAGCTGAAAATAAACATTACATTATAGAAAAGTGCAGCAAAATAACAATATTTCTTTTACTTATGTATATTGCAGGGTACTAAAATATCCGATGTTTATAATAAATATAAAAAATCCGATTTTTTTATATATATCTGAAGCTAAGAAAAAAAAGCAAATTTCATTCTGTAAGGGGATTACACGCTTAAAAATGTGAAAGGAATTTGTAAAATAAAATAAGTATCATATTAATTTGCCTTTATCATAGTAATTTGCCTTTTGCCACTATGAGCTGCCTGACCTAACTTCATGCACATTTTAGCAGCCTCCGCTGCTGCACGAGTGGGATACCAGCCAGCGCAAACCGTAATCGCAGGCAGTTGCTTCATTCCATTAACATCAATAAAAAAGAAATAAAAACACCAATTCCTTCATTTTACAAAATATTACATCTATTCAGCATAATATATACCAATGACAAAGTGGATGAATGCTGTTACTAGAGAAGGTCCAATTGATTTATTGTAGGATGAACCATACCACTTAATGGTGGAGTTTGAATCATTTGTTGATTACATTCCAGAACTGGGGTGTATGAATGAGAAGTTACATGAACGGATAAAAGCCATTGGAACGTTATACCACCTTTACCCATAAGATATTAGACTTGAAAATAGATAATGTCATAGTATTAAGTACATAATACTAATGTATTAGAAAATTTATTATACTTACATTGCGCTGGAGGCATACAAACATAAGTCCTGAAAAATGGACTATTTTTGGCCCGTTCTTTACAAGCATTTGCAATGGGTTTGCTTATCTGTTTGACTAAAAGTACAGATAATTTAGCAATGGGAAAGGCTCCAACAACCATTGTTACTTTTAACAATAGGAAATAGGCCTACAAATTGATTTTTCTTAGAATCACTGTGCCAAGAAAACCATTGGAAATGATCCACAGATTAGATCTCAGACAGATTTCAAATGATCACAGAACATAAAGGTCAAAGATTACGGTTAGTACAGATGTCAGACACAACACACAACTGTCATACTCAATACGGCTGCTACTTTAAAATATTTTTATGATAATAGAAAGCACATTGGATTCAGCACTTTAATATGAAATCTCTACCCTATAGAAAAACAATAGAGTAGGAAACTTCCTTCTCTATTGTTTTTTTTGTAACTACAAGAAGTTACAAGAGAAAAAAAGGCGGGAAACATAGAATCTGGTGGTCGTGTTTTTTTTGTTAAGAATTAAATAAAAATTTAATAGTGATCAGTTAAGTTAGATATTATAGTTGTTTTCACTCTTTTATATATATTTTATTTGTTTATTAGTGTAATTATAGTAGCTGTAACATAGGTAAGTCATAATTATTTAATTTATATATGGACCCTCCTGAGGATCCTGGGGGCACAGGCCCTCAGGTGGGCCTCCACGTAACTATTAGCAATAATGAAAATGACTCCATGGATACTGATTGCTCTTTTACCCTAGTGGAGAATTTGAAAGTTAAACGAAAACGTATATCTGCAGTAGCAGATACATGAGTACATGTGTATAAACACTGTAACAAAAAGCGAAGAAAAAATCGCGGTTCTAAAGGAAACTCTAAAAATCAAGAGAACACTTGTCAATGCGCTGTTGTAAATGAAGGTGATCAACCTTCTTCTAATACATGTACAAATATAGAGGATAATGAGAATAAGGTCGAGCAACCTCCTGTAACATGTGCAAATAATGAGGATAAAATGGATAATGCTGGTTCAAGTCAGTTACAACCGTCAGTAGCTAGGCTTTATTATCAATCAGGTGATGCGGCACCTTATGTAGTCCATATCCAAAAGGAGCAGTCTTCGCCGGATGACAGAATTACTGTACACCCAATTGCCTTTGGTCGCCTCTTAAAAAATTGTGCTTATAAAAACGTTATTAATTGTAGTTTGAAAAAAATTGGTAGGAATAGACTAGCTTTGTCATTCTCTAATTTTATTGATGCCAATTCCTTCATTGACTGTGACCGTTTAAAACAACAGAATTATAAAGCATTTGTCCCCTATTTTAATCTTACTAGAATAGGAATTATTAAGGGTGTTCCCTCAAACTGGTCCCCTGAAGAGGTAATAAGGAACATTTCTGTCCCACTTGGCTGTGGAGAAATACTTAAAGTTAGAAGAATTAGACGTAAGAATATTATTAATGGTGAATCCATATTTGTTGACACAGAAACTGTTATTATAACTTTTGATGGTCAAATACTTCCTAAACGTGTATTTATGTGTTACAACTCATTACCTGTAGATATATACATATAGCCAACAATACAATGTTATAACTGTTGTCGATATGGTCATGTTAAGGATCAATGCCATTCTACACCACGGTGCTATAAATGTAGTAAAGGACATTCAGGTGAAAACTGTACGCAGCAAGAAGACTTCTGCTGCTGTCTATGTCTTGGAGATCATCAAGCTAACAGTAAAAACTGCCCGGAACTATGGACACAAGAAGCAATAAAAGAAACTATGGCTAAAAGCTGTATATCTTATGCAGAAGCCAGCAAATTGCATGGTCCTGTAACAAAATCGTATGCTGACACAGTTAAAACTAATTCTTCTATCATAACTGCGGAACATTTAAATAATACTAAACCCCAAAATACTCTATCTTCTAATATAATATAATCAATAGGTCATATAAAAAAACCATTGTACAAAAACCCCGTCAACCTCCAAAATTATCACATGGTTATGATGTAAACATGCATAACCAATTACTAAAAGATTATAATCCTCCTACTCCTGCAGATGGCTGCGGTTATAAATCTGTAGCTGATCAGAATTTACCAAATCAATTTACAGAATTAATCATGGCTTTAATTAAATCGCTGACTGAGTCTAATTCTATTGTACCGTCCAACGCTGCTTCTCTATTTACTGCTCTTCTTCAAATCTTCAACAACAATGGCTCCATTGGCCAAAGTTCTCCAGTGGAACTGTCGTAGTATTATTAATAAAAAAAAGTGAATTTTTTTTTCATATTTTAAATAAAAATAAACCTTTTATTTGTGCCCTTCAGGAGACATGGCTGAAACCCATATCAACTTTTAAGGTACCGGGTTATGCTTGTCTCAGAGAAGATAGGACAGATGGGTATAATGGCATAGGTACTACCTCGACGAGCGCTAGCGCAGCACTGAGAATTTACTTTTGGCGCAACGGAATTTATACAGCTTTAAATTATTATTATTGTTTATTTTTTTCTTAGAAACTTATATTTTTTTTTCATATTTCTAATTTACAAGTATATTAACTTTATTATTATGTTTTTTTTATGCAAAAATTTCGTTGTATTTATGAGAAAATTAGAAATGACTATGGCAAAGTTTTGTTGAAATTTCGGGTTTAATTATGATCAATTTTTTAGATATTTAAGTTGAAAATGAAGAAAAGGACGATGCTGTCTCAATTTATAAAGTAATTATCAAGTTTTAGTAAAGATATCATATCAATTTATGTTTGTTTATTAATGAACGACGACCCCAAACTTCTGTCATTTAGCGTTTTTGAATAAACTATTTTAGAAATTAGGAAGACTAACAAAGAGAAAATTAATATTTCAAAGATGTTGTTTTTAAGATTACATATCTATCTATATAATTCAGGAATCAAAATGTATATCCGACTCTTAATTTCTTAGAACCAGAACCCCAAAGACCCTGCTTTTAGGCCAAAAAATGTGAAAGGCCTCTTAATATTCGTAGAAATAAGTATGTATTAGCAAAATTAATTAAATATTACTTAAATTATCAAAATTGTTATGTCGCACTATACTAATGTTCACTGACAAATGTTTACGAATGTCTTATCGTAGCGGTGTCGTAAAAATAGCATAGGTCCTACCTCGACGAGCGCTAGCGCAGCACTAAGAATTTACTTTTGGCACAACGGAATTTATACAACTGTAAATTATTATTATTGTCTATTTTTTTCTTAGAAACTTATATATTTTTTTTATATTTCTAATTTACAAGTATATTAACTTTATTATTATGTTTTTTTCGTTCAAAAATTTCGCTGTATTTATGAGAAAATTAGAAATGATTATGGCAAAGTTTTGTTGAAATTTCGGGTTTAATTATGATTAATTTTTTAGATATTTAAGTTGAAAATATAAAAAAGGACGATGCTGTCTCAATTTATAAAGTCATTATCAAGTTTTTGTAAAGATATCATATCAATTTATGTTTGTTTATTAATGAACGACGACCCCAAACTTCTGTCTCTTAGCGTTTTTGAATAAACTATTTTAGAAATTAGGAAGACTAATAAAGAGAAAATTAATATTTCAAAGATGTTGTTTTTAAGATTAGATATCTATCTATATAATTCAGGAATCAAAATGTATATCCGGCTCTTAATTTCTTAGAACCAGAACCCCAAACACCCCGCTTTTATGCCAAAAAATGTGAAGGCCTCTTAATATTCATAAAAATCACGACTCAAATATAGAATTTAACTCAACTGTAGATAAGAAATGGCGGAATTGGCACCGAATTTTTTGTGATGCATCTAAACATCATCCAACTGGATGTGTTGGGATCGGAGTTTACCATTCAAAATATAAAATAGTCCAAAAAATAAAACTTCCTCCAGAAACATCTGTATTTACTGGTGAATGTTTTGGTATTTACAAAGCTCTCGAATATATATTAATTACGAAACTTCAGCAAACAATAGTGTGTACTGATTCCAGAAGTGCACTATTAACTCTTCAAAAATTTCCATTTAAATCAAATATTAATTATCCTATTATCATAGAAATCAGAAAATTGCTGCAGTTATGTAACTCGAGGGGGTTCTCTGTCTCGCTTACGTGACTTCGTCAATAATTAGAATGAGATTGGTGCATGTATGCTCTCCTGCACATCTAGCTAAGCTAAAAATTGTGGATAATGATATATGTAGCTGTGGTACAGAAGTGGGTGACTTCAGCCATATCATTTTCAGTTGTCCTCTGTATGATCATTCCTTTTTAATGATCTATCTCACCGAATTCCTTTACCTACATCAATTCCAATTTTATTATATCTTAATGATATTGATGTGTATAAAAGTATTTCGATTCTTCTAAGTAGTAATAATATAAAATTGTAAATATAAAAATGACTCCCTCTATATAAATATATCATATGTAAATAGTTGTCTGTTAATATATTAAGGTCTTATATAAGTATAATGACATATTGTATATATTTAATATGTATAGTGTAGTACCTTAGTCTAATCCTTATAATTAATCCTATTGTCAACTTACCTGATCCTTTAAACCTATCGTCCAAAATTTCCTTTACCTGAACTACTGTTTCCCAAATTTTGTATATTGGCAAATGCACAGACGTGCCAAGCCATAAAGAAAAAAAAAAGAGATTACAAGAAGAAACATCTCTAGTTTACGAATATGTATATATTTCGCATTAATGCATACAATGCGATTTAGACCAAAATATGAAAATATAAAATAATATCTTAAGGTTTTCTAAAATAAGTTCTATACACTAATAAATTTTCGTATATTTTTATTAATACCAAGTAGGTATTTAATTTTAATTATTTTCTTTTGGGTCCGGCGATTTGTGTTGCCATTAGCCATTTCCTAGTTTCTTAGGCACATTTTTATTGAATGTTAATAGAAATTTGAATTGAGCCTCCATGTACATTTTCTGTCAACACTCGGCATTCTTCCGTGTGCTTACATTTCCACACAAGTTATGTTTAAATTTAGTGTAGTGATGGGTCGTCGTTTTGGATACATGGAAATAGACCTACCGACCGACCGACCAAGGCTACATATCTTACTAGCAATGTGGTTACTAGTCCTCACCCTACCACCTGTAGGATCATTCGAATCTGACAGGTGGCTTAGTATTTAGTCCAAGTACTACGAGAGAATAATAAAGTAAAAAAAAAACACAGTACAATAAAACACAGGCACTTGATTCCAATAAATTTTAATTTAATTTTATGCAACTTATAATACTGTGCTCAATTTAAATATAGATCGACAATCATAATATGTTACTCGGTCAATGGCTCATTAAAGAAATGTATTTACAACATATCAAACACCCACGTAAATCATTAGTCATATACTAAATTTAAAATTACATTGTCGATAGTACACAGCATATACTATAAGTACAACATTATATGGTCTATACAATATTGATTTACTTAAATTTTCAAAATTATTACAACAGTAAAAAATATATTACTATAGGTTTAATTTATATAAAGAATATTTGGGTACAAAGATCAACCACCATATCACTATAATAATCATAATACATATATGAATTTCAATACATCCATGCTAATAGATATTAGTATTAGCATGGATTTTACTGAAAATACGAATTTTATTTATAATAAAATTCGTATTATCAGTATAATACAAATAAATGCACCAATAATAAATGTTTCAGTGTAAGCGCGATCCGATGTGCACGTATTATAATTATTTTATTTAATATCGTAATTGCTCAGCGCGGCATAAGCCGTGCTAGTCGAAGTTCCAGCCATGTGTGACAAACTTGTGGCCAACAAACTCCTTGCGTTCCTGCAGCAGAAGCTGGACGTAATGGACGAAATAAGTGCAGTCCAGATCTGTGTGTCCAACTTCAGCCAGGACGACATCGCGAGAGCGAAGGCTCTGCTCTTCGAGTCCCTAAATAAGACTGATCAGATGGTGTCTCGTAGACGTGACGGGACACAAAAAAGCGTACAGGATATTATAACGCTGCTGAAGGAGACCGATCCAGACGACGTGCCGACTTTTGTGGCGAAGGATTTAAACAAACTTCCTCCAGTCACATTTGATCACGTCGATGTTACCAGCTTACTCAAGGATATCGTGTCCTTAAAAAAGAGTTTGGCAGATGTGACGCTACGTTTCAATGCGTCAGAGCACATAATTAGTGAGTTGCCCAAGGAAGTGGACAGTTTGCGCGACTCGCGAAAAGAAACTAGGGCACTTGACGCTACGAACATCAACACGCGCCGTGGGGCATGCCGCGATGCGTTCACGGCGGAGTCAGCGGTTTCAGCGACGACACTGACGTCACCAGATGTGGTGTCACCGCCGGTCGCCGCGTCCCTCGTGCCCCCTGCCCGCTGCTCGCGAGCGCCGATACCGCTGCATGTGGAAGCAGCGCTAACAAAATCCTCGGTGCAACCACAGCGTCGAGATTTTGCCGCCGTCGTCGCTAGCAAACCGACTGCTTCAGTACAGCGGCGTGTGCCAAAAACGGCACTGAACATTGACCCTACGTGTGCTGCCACTGGTAACCGCGACGATGATGGCTTCGTCGTGGTGCAAAAGAAGTGGGCGCACAAACAGGGTCAATAGGAATCATTGTGGCACTGCACTCACTGGGCCCAACTTTCTGCTGCGTGCTGCTACACCGACCACGGCAATGTACCTGTCCCGTCTACATTACGCCACTAAGGAGCAGGACATTGTCGATTATATTCGTACAAAGAGTAACCTTACATTGAGGGTAACGCAGCTGAAGTCGAGTCACAACGCGAGTTTCAAAGCGTTTGTGGCCCTGGTCCCCACCGACTTGCTGCCCACCTTCATGAAAGAGGACTACTGGCCGAAAGGTGTGGTATATCGGCGCTACCGTGGCAGATTGCCGTCTTCAGTGCCGTGATCACACAGACAATATTATTGTATTAGTTTTTAAATATATTATATGTATGTTAGTCTATAAGGTATTTATAATATGGGCCTAGTTGCCTGAAATAAATGAATAAATAAATAAATAAAAATAAAAACTTACGTAACAATAACAAACTGATTTTACCTAAATGTCGTTTGGCTAAAGTAAGTAATTCGTTTTATGGCAATTGCGTAAGGTTTTACAATAAAATACCAGAGTCTGTTATAAATCTGCCAGAAAAAATATTTAAATGTCAAATAAAACAGTTCCTTTGCAAAAAGCTTACTATAAAATTTAAGAATTCGTTAACGATAATGTTTTTATAGAAAAACTTTAAATCGATAGCACTGACAATATTATCTGATTACAATAATAATGAGTGCGTAGCGATTTCTATGTTGATTATCGCATGCCTCTTACTTCATCATCATCATCATCATCGCAGCCCGGAAGACGTCCTGTGCTGGACATAGGCCTCCCCCAAAGATCTTACTTGTTATACTGTATTTATATAAAAAATCATCTATTAAAAATGATGTTATTTTATATAAATGAATGCAGATTCATCACAAGAAGAATGAGTGGTAGAATCAAAATATGACTATTCAAAAGTGCTTGTAATGAGTTTATTTGAATAAAGATTATTTCTATTTCTATTTCAAATTTCGTACAATTATTCACGGTCTTAGTAGTCTAGCGGTTTAACATACCGCCTTACTTCCGATGGTCGCGGGTTCGTCTCGTCGCACGACACTAACATTGGTATTCATGAATATGAGTATGAGTTGTTTATATCAGTTTGGGTGTTTTCTATGTATAATATGTATATTATATAATATATATATTTATGAACAAAATATATCTAAAAAAATATGTATTTGTATCAGTTATCATAACAAGCTTTAGCTAGCTTAACTTGGGTCTAGATGGCGCTGTGTAAATTGTTCTGAGCTTATTATTATTATAATACATTCCAGGATTCTTATTAGTACAAGCTTGAGATCAGTGACATCAGTCACACATCTTTATTCCTTCCCTTCTCCTTTACTTTCAAATCAAATCACAAGTGTTCACATCAAGATTTTTTTATAAATCAATTCTATACTGTGTAATACTTGCTTTTTCTGGAAAGTTAGTTCGTAATATGAACATGTTATTAACTTCTGGTTTAGAATTTAAGGTTTCTAAATATCCAAACCAATATATTACTAAACCAGGCCCAAACCTGTTCCAGTAGCAAGATAGTTGTTCCTTCAAATACCCAGAGTGATTTTCTTCATCACCAAATAAAGCTTTACTTTCAACCCAGTTTACTATGAAACCATCCACTGCTATAGGTACATCTAATTTGAAATCTGGAGTTTTGTCATATCCACGGGATCTGAGTATATTTTCATCAGAAAATGTGATATTCATTAATCTCAGTTCTCGTTCTAGCCTCAACTCATACTCGAGGCCAATAGATCTGAAAAACAACTTTTATAAACTCTCTGCAAATTTAATTCAAACATTACTTTAGTTAGAGTAAAATATTTCAGTTTATTGTGAATGACAATGCTTAATGACTTCCATTTTATAGCCTCCATTTAGTTTTAAACTAATGTAATTCTGATCATGTAATATTCTAAATAAAAACTGTCTATGAGAAGGCTCCATACTAGGGTTCATTCCCGGGAAATTCATGGGTTTTGTTCCCGGGAAATCAAGCTCGAGAAAAGTCGAGAATTCGAGAAATCATATACCTATATAGAAATTAAATTGCCCTTTGTTTTGTTGCGTGGCGGCGCAATAATTTAAGATATTAACTTTTTTGTTTTTTTTCATGTTAGTTTTTTATTTTGTAGAAACTATTTTTGTTTACGTTGTCTTTTTTTCTAAATAAGCAGCCAAAAATGGTGCTGTCTTTATAAATATAAGTCTGAATAATTAGGTCCTAAAAATTTAAATTGGCGTTTTGTAAGGAAATAACCGGCAGGATTTTTTTTCAAAATATAATATATTTATTTAATCAAAGTATGAACCATTTCTATTTATGCACTTTTGCCTGTTGTTTTTGTACTTTGGACTGCCTCATCGGAGTTTAATTTTTGCCCTTGCAAGAAGTTATCCAAATTAAAAAAAAAAATGATAATCTGTTGGAGCAAGGTCCGGGAAGTATGGTAGTTGTCTTAGACATACCAATTGAAGCTTTTCTAATTTGGTAACTGTCTGTTGTGCAGTATGTGGTCAAGCGTTCTTGGCGATTGACCAGCCTCGGTTGTTTAGCAGCTAGCTTTTCCATCATGATTTCTCAATTGCTGACAATACACATTTGCCGTAATCGTCTGGCCACCGGAAATAGTCCACCAAACGTTCACAAGTAACATTTTTTGAGCCAATTTTCGCTTGAGGCAGGATTTGGTTGGTTCGCCAGGGTTTAGCCATTGCAATGAGCTTTTCTGATTATCGTACAAGATCCACTTTCCATCACAGGAAATGATTTGATTTTAAAATCCCTTCATTATTATGCCGGTTGATTAATGTAACGCAGCAGGCTACGCGCGTTTGTCGATTTACTTCATTGAATTCATGAGGGACCCACTTTTCAAGCTTTTTCATCTTCCCAATTTGCTAAAGGATTAAAACAGTTTTGTCACTAACACCGCAGCCTGCAGCTAACTCGGACGGGTTTGCGATGGATCCGCTTCCACAATAGCCTTCAATTCTTCATTATCAGTCTTGGATTCCGGCCGCCCACGGAGATTGCTTTGCAGGTCGAAAATTCCAGAACGAAAACGTTGGAACTAAAAATGCACGTGTTTTCTTTTGCCAGACCACTGCCATACACATCATTAATACTTCGAGCCATTTAGCACCGTGTAGCACTGGTGCCACAGCGGAACTCGTACTCGTAAATAACGCGATATTTTAAGTTTTTTCATTTTGTATGCTGTGAGTGACCCAAAGTGAATAGCTGTATAAATTTGGAAATGGAATTCCTAACCAAAGTGGAGATATCTGAGATCAAAGTGGCCAGTACGACAAAACGCCAATTTCATATGTAAGGACCTAATATTATTTCTCTATTTAAAAAGTAATAATTTATTCATAATATTAATGTTTTTAAATATACTCAATAAAAGTTTAATTTGATACTTTTATTTGAGAGGAAAACCACTAAATTTTTTGACGTTATTGGAACCAAATAATATGATAAAACGTACGTAAATGTAAATTTCTCGACAACCCGAGAAGACCCGAGGAATTGACCTCGAGAATTCTCGAGACCCGAGAAATTGAAAAGCTCGAGAAATCATGAACCCTACTCCATACTTATAATATTTGGAGCCTTCCTGTACAAGTCTTATAAGTTAGATTTTGCTATCCATATTTAATATCCATAGACAACATATATTCATATACTTACTGTTTTATAATGTCTGCATATGGTCCATATTGATTATCATTCATAATACCCTGAAAGATTAAACAAATATATTCATAAAAATAATAATTACAATACAAATATACAATATACCCAAGATAACCAATGAAGGCTATAGTTAAAAATCAGTTTTGCTCCTTGAGCAAAAATCACACAGTTTGCTACAGTTTACTACAGTACACAATTCAGTAACAACTTCTATTATGTGACACTTGTGGCATACAGTATATGTTGTATATTTGTTAACTATTTTTTTTACTTATTTTGTATTGCTGAGACTGTAAATAAAATCTTAATATATACAATGGCTCTTTATGCATGTTTTTGACCAGACTCCTCCTAAATGGCTAGACATATGTGCATGGAATTTTATGTGGAAATTTCAATATCATGTTCCTGTAGAGTTTAAAAACACAACTAGAACTGATAAATGACACTGTTTTTCAGACAGGGCAGACAATATACTATATATTTCAAAATTACCATAAATACTTGATAGGCTAGATCCTTATCCTCTATAAGAGTTGTATCTTTTATACATTTTTTGGCCATAGCTGAATCGGAATATACATTCTGTAATAGTGATCTTGCAAATAAAGCAGGGCTTACGCCTTGACAATCTGAAAGCCTGAAAAATTAATTTATTGGTGACATAATTTCATACAATGATTTTTGATGCTGCATATATTTCAAGTTATGATGAAAATATAATAAATGGTACTATGTTACATTGCTTTATTATAGATTACAGATATTTTTCTATTGTCATAAATTTAATATTGCTGGTGGTAATTACATTCTCCCTATTTGAATATAAAAATGAACCTGTATTATTGTAATCATGTGTAAGCTCTTTTGAAAAGACCTTTTGGATTTTAGTGAATGCCCATAATTTTTCCAGTTATTTAGATTTAAGTATTGAAATTATTCAATAAAGTATATATATCTTTGAAAGTAAAAAATGTTTCTCAAATCAGTTTATAATAGAATTCTGAGGTAAAAATAATAAAAAAGTCCAATTAGCCAAACCTTTTTTAATCTTGCTTAATAAACATAAAATATGATCCTACTCATCATCCTTTTTTAAATTGGGATTAAAAGGTGGTATGAATTTGGATCATCTACTTGTAATTTTACTCAAAATAAGAATCAATATTTTTTTATTGTGCCTGTGGTTGTGTGATATTAATTACTTACTTCATAATGACATTTCCTTTACTTTTGTCTGTCATGAGTTCTTCATACAAATCATGATATTTACTTGAGATTACTGGGGATTTTCTATAGCTCTGTTTCATGGATCTCTGAACTAACAATGATATAATGCTTCCCAAAGTAGATGGTGGTAACCTAAAAGAGATCATTATTAAAATTACTATTGATAATTTGTTATTTTCACATTTAATATGGAATATTAAATACTGGATACAGCAATAAATTATTAAAATATCTACATATAGATAAATATCAAAAATATTAATAACAATAGTGAAATAACATTGATTTGTTCTTTTATTTGGAGAAGTCTATTTCTCTTTAAGGCATACATAAATTGTAGCTTCAAGATTCTATGTAAAGGTTTGTACTGTGGTATCAATGGAATGCTTGATGTGATACTGGTAATGTTTATGGGATAGACATAATTTTTTTATATAATGATTTATGGAATGGTTCTACTGCGAGCCTTAATGATATCAGCTGGATCAGACAGCCCATAGCAAGTAACTTTTCAAAGTATTATATTAATATAATTGATTTACAGAGGACATGCTACATTTGAAATGGCAATGCACTACAATAGCAATTGTCAACCATTTTTCTGCGATACGGTAGTCACAGGTGTCCAAAGTTCCTAAAAACACGAGACATGTGAATAATAGTCTTTATTGACAAAGGTAAGGTGCGGGGAGGCATGGAAAACAACAACACTATGAAGAAGAAGATGTAGTTGCCAATAATGGGAAAATTAATATTTGCAAACAAATGGCATGATATAATTCCACTTGCTCGGAAAAAAGAGGACACTTACTGGTTGTATTTTTTCTTTAGTTCATTTTCAGCCCTTCGGCTGAATGAAGTTAGCATAGAAAAATCATCTACAATTGCATTATATATTTCCAGCTTCATAATTTTACATTCCGACATTACGAAATTAAAGATTATCTACAGCAAAGAATATACTACTCAAGAGATCTACAGTTCAACAAGTTTTTTTTCTTTAGCAAGAGGCTAGTGTTGCCTATTATGCCACTAAAAACAGGAAACGAGACGGGATAATGGAAGGAACGGGTTAAATTTTAAATATACTCGGAATTAGTGATCATGGGTTTTAAAGTTTAATGTTATTATGGGCAATAAAAGACGCAAGAGATTAGTTTTAAAGTTTTCTACGATGTTTCTACAAAATATTTTTAGAATTCACGTACGTGTATATGTGTTTTAATTACTGTTCTTGCATTAATCACCACAAAAGTGTATTTTAGTAGTTTTTGTACATATAATTTCTACCAAGCAAGTACTTTTCTTTTAAAGAGCAATTTTTTAAGGATGTTTTTTAAATCTAGGATACCACTAGGTTATTCGTTTTATAAAAAAGGCAGTTAAACTTGGTTTATTGATTAAACAAATCCATATCGCAGGTACTACTCCGCTATAAGTGGTAACCGAGTCTAAGGTCTAAGGTAGTAACATTATTTGAAAATTTGACATTTACTTGTACACCTGTCAATATATTTAGTCTCTCGGATTAAAAAATATATTTTAGTCGTTTAGTTTTGTCGCAATGAAATAACTAAATTAAAATTCTTATGAAGTTTAAATGTAGAAAATTGTATGCAATATTGTAAATGTAACCTATGTTAAACATTGCATTAGTATTGTCTATTTATTTTCTGCTGACCAAATATGTGTGACGAACGTGGAAATATATCTGCCAAATCATTTTCCCGTTCTCTAGACCCGATTATAAAAGTAAGTTTTTTAAATCAGCACAATTCTACATATGCTGAATTATAGATAATGTGTAAGTAAAGTACACAAGTGTAGCCCACATAGATCTTACCATTAAGAATAGTCAATATCTTCATAGAAGTCACAAATATATGTATTATTAATTGTATACTATAAGTCCTCAATATATTATCCACATTCCAATTATAATTAGGGGTAGAATCTATCCTACTACTACTACTAATGATGTTTGGAACTGATTACTTCCGTGACTAACCTCATTAAAATTATTAGTAAATAGTTACTACTTCCTTGTAAATTAAATTAGTTATTACTTATTATTTGGTAACAGATGGGTTACATGGACGGAGCTTCAAATGGACAAAATGCTACATTTCAATCAAGTTTCAATATTGGGTATAAACAGGGATTAAGTTTTGGACTAAATTTAGGATTTAATCAAGCTAATCCAAGGTAAGAAATTCTGCTGTTAGTATAATTACTCTAACTTTGTTTTATTTGTAAAGTATCATTTTGCAATTCATATATTTCAGAATACAGGATCAGCCATTTCACTTGCAAGAATTAAAGGATCCAAAAAAGATAAACTGCCAAATATGTTTAAAAAATGCTACTACTCAAGAAAATATAGTAAATCTATGTAACATTCAGAAAGAGAAAAATGATGAAATCATGTCATATTTCAGAGATGTAGAATCAAATGGATAATGACAACCTTGTGGTGAAATAGTCCCCCTTTCATATGAGAAAACATCTGGTAGGCTTTTATTCCTGTATTTTATATTTCATAAAATATACTACATCTAAGTACGGTAAATTATATGTAATAAGAGCAAATAACCATTTTAATGACCATAACCTGTTTAAAGACAATTTTACAAAAATTATTGAATATAAATGTATAAAAACATGGAAAGAATTTATTTTAAATTAAAATCTGTACCCACTATGTTTTTGTCTCACAAAACAGATGCTCATTATCAGTTCACTGGTGAACTGATGAATTTTTGTCAATACCAGTTTATCTTGAATGAAAAATATTGTAATTTAGTAAATTTTCAGATGCAAGTAAAACCTGTTTTAATTACAATTCATACATTGACATTGGGTTTTTGGTGTTAAACCATTTCCAACTTATTTAACTAGGATAAGTAGTAATTAAAAGATACAACTTGGTTGAGATTGGAAGCAGAACTATTTAGCATTCATAAAAATGACATAAGTATCTTTAGTAATAATAATAACATAAGTATAAGTTGATTTATTATCCATTGTTTACATGCATAACAGTAATCTTAATAAGGGGTAGTTGCTGATGGGCAATGTGAAATTAAATTTCTTTCCATTTACTGTTTGTATAATGGTGGTTTTAGCTGAATCTTAGCAGTGATTTTCTTAGCATGTTGCATGAAATTAGTGGTATAATTATCATCGGGCTTGTTACCTAATACAAATTATGCAAATGACAGATGGTGTTTGGCTAAATTAAAGTATAATATACATAGTGATGAGTGATCAGGTGGTCAGATATGGATCAGTTGTCTACTATTGATTTTTTCCATAGAAAAACATTAATTTTATTTCCCTGAATTCTGCTGATTTAGAAATATTTTTTTTTTTTCTATAATTTAACACATTTTGTTGATAAGAAAGAATTTCTGTCCTCTGGTTTTAACTTACAAAATACAATGATGCTGTGTGATACAACATACATATGCTAGTTTAGTGCACAATAAAATACATTAAACACATTAATATTTTTTATTTTTAGACCTTATGTATGCACATAAGGTAGGCGAGAAATATTTTTTTATTGGCATTTAATAATTTGTTTTAAAGTTAAACAAATATACATGGAAAAGTATGTTTAAAGTAAGTTTGGAGTTTCTATTATAAATTTAAGCTATTAATTCACTTATAATGTTTTATTTTTAAAAGTTACTTAACTGTAAAGATGAAATAAAGCTGTAAAGCTCCACTAACTGATCATAAACTGACTAATTTGACCTTATTAGATTGTATAAAATAACAGAGAAAGTATACAATCTTTATAACTTTCACCAATTTTTTATGTTGTAGTAGTGGAACCTCCATGTGTAATAATAGCAAGTCAAAATTACATCAGTTCAGTTTGTCAGGCCAGGAAGAGCAACATAATGGAATTTTTTAATAAACAAAATAATTCAATATATTATTTACTAGCTGTACTCGCGACTTCGTCCGCGTGTCCTTATCTTGACCAAATAATAAAAACAATATTTAATGACCTAACCCAATAATAACCATATAAAAAAGTTCATCGTTTCATCTACAAAAATAACGACACTTCCATACATAACTCTTTCAACCCCTTATAACTCTGTTCTTAATATATATTTAATAAATAGGCTAAAAATTAAACTTCCAGCTTCTAGCTTTAAAAATGACAATATTTCCATATAAATATTTAACTCTCTTTTAAATTCCATACAACCCATTTTTCTTTATTTATATTTAATCAACAGCCTAAAAATCAGTCATTCTTTGAAAATGGCGATATATCCATACAACCCTTTTCCACATTTAAAAAACCCTATATCCATTCTCAGGGTCTGGATTATGTGTTCCAAATTTCATTTAAATCGGTTCAGTAGTTTTGGCGTGTAAGTGAGACTGATAGACAGACAGATAAAGTTACTTTCACATTTATAATATTAGTGGGGTATTTTATAAACTAACCCAAAAAAGCCAATGGAAAAAGTTTCAAAACTGACGAATTTACCTAAAATCTTTCATCCCCTATTTTATTTTTTTACCCCCTTAAGGGTAATATTTTACAAACTTTGAATGTCATATTCATTTACATTTAATCGACGGCCTCAAAAATAAGTTTCAAGCTTCTAGCTTCAAAAATGACGAATTTACATAAAAACTTTCATCCCCTATTTTATATTACCCTCTTAAGGGTAACATTAATAAACTTTGATGGCCTGTTTATTTATATTTAATCAACAGCCTCTATCTAGCCCTATTTTATTTTACCCCCCTAAGGGTAAGATTTTTCCAAACTTAGTATGTCATATTCATTTATATTTAATCAACAGCATCGAAAATAAGTTTCAATCTTCTAGCTTCAATAATAACGAATTTAACTCCAAACTTAATAGAAAAAATTAATAATTCTTAAGAAAAATTAATGTGTACAGGTAGATGTACCTTTGTATTCCAATACAGCAACTTCAACTTAATTTAAGTGATCTAATCTTAATAATCTTATACATAATCTAAAGCTAATATATTAAAAAATATTATTCTACTATACTACTTTGTCATTTACAATAATAAATTAAATAAAAAAACCAAGAACACTCTAAGTACCTAACTTAGACTGTTCTTGGTTTTTTTTCTGGAGGAGGTTTCATGTTTTCTTGCTTGACTTCACTTTTAATTTCAGCATGTCCTGTCATACTGCCGTTGGTAATATCTGCACTGTTTGGATCTACTGGTTCTTGTTTTATTGTTATGTTGTTCACATTGCCATTATCTGATGTTTTTTCTTTATCATTTTGGTTTTCACTCTTTATTGTTACACCATTTATCTAAAAGTTGATACCAATAAATAACTACAGGGTCTTGGGACACTGATAAAAATAGTACACCTATAAAATATCTAATGGTATATCAAGATTAGGAATAAACAATATATACCTGTAACCTTTTTATAGACATTTTTTTCTACCAATTTCTTTTTTATCTGCATTATAGAAGATTTTACTACCAGGACTCACTCCTGGTAGTAAAATCTTCGTAACTTTGCACAGAGTCACTACTTAAGTAGCTACTCTTATTTCACCTATATTAACCGCCGTCAAAGTAGGTTTGACAGAGGTACCCACGCAGATTTACGCTACTAGGCTATCTATATAGACATACATGGAGCTGTGTGAATTGTCTTGAGATTATTATTATATACAGCTATTACTTTTTAATAATTAGTATTATATTCTAAACTGATAGATAAACATATTTCTTTTTTATAAAAGTTTTCAACAAATTTATGTTTTTTTCTTTCAAATTCGCTGGAATTTTGAAATTAATATTCTAAGAACTTTTAATGTCATTTTGAAATTAAGCATAAACATGATTAAATTTACAAGGTTAGTAGAGGTTTTTCACTGAAATATGTTCAAATGTTATAATTTATGGTGCAAGTAAATGCATAGACATGTCTCCAGGACAACTACAATTCTTACCTGATTGGGTGTAGTTTGTGCTATTGGTAAAGGAAATTGTCTAACAAGTTCAGCTAGCAACATATCTACTCTTTGACGTTGGAACAATGTTGATGGTTCTTCCTTTGGAGTGTTTGATACTTCTTTAGGAGCTGATTGGTTCGCATTAAATGGCCCTAAACCTGGAAGTAGAGATAAATGACTATATTTGTTCATTTATTTATGATAATTGCATTTGTTTGTAATGTGGGAACAATATGACATACTAATAGGTTTTTATTAATTGGAACAGCTAATGTTACTTAATGGTAAGGGGGAAGCCGTAAACATCACCTATATACTATATGTGAACAGCACTCCAATTTCACGTTATAATGTGACACTCAATACTAATCATGCATTGCCGGCCTTTGTGGTCTAGCAGTTTAGCACACCTCCTTACTTCGGATTATTGCGGGTTCAAATCCTCATATGGTACAAACATTTGTATTCATAAGTGTGATTGTTTATATCAGTATGGGTGTTTTCTATGTATAATATTAAAATTCAAATTCAAAGCCTTTATTAATTGACACAAAATTATACAATCTATCATAATATTTGATTAAAAGTTTAAAATATAAAAGAAACATTAGTTATATATACATTTTATGTTACTTCTAATTCTGCACATCAGTCTCTGAGTCGACGTGTCCTATAGACACAAAGGCCTCCTCCAGCGTTTTCCATGTGTTCCTATCTTTTGCCAATCGGAGCCACAGTGGGCCGGCAATCTTTCTAAGGTCATCAGACCATCTCTTGTACTGTCTTCCTCTTTTTCGTTTCGTTTTATGACGGGAAATCCACTCAGTTACAGTTTTCGTCCATCTCATATTTCCCCTTAGTGTGTGACCTGTCCATTTCCACTTCAACCTTCTTATTTTAGTTCGTAACTTCATTCCAACCTGTGATAACTCTTATGTCCATCACTCTCTTTCTATCTCTCCTGTTATAACCCAACATGCATCTCTCCATACTACTTTGGCATGTTACAAGTTTTTGCATATTTTTCTTGGTCATTGCCCATGTTTGGCATCCGTATGTTAGTATTGGTAAGATACAGGTATTAAAAAGTTTCTTTTTTAAGTTAATGGGGTATTGTTTGCTTTTCATTATAGTTTTCAATGTCCAGTATCTTTTCCATGCACTTGTAACTCTTCTTTCTATTTCCTGTTCCATTTGGTCTTTTATTGAGATGAGTTGTCCAAGGTAAATATATGATGTTACATAATCTATATGTTCTTTTTCTAATTTGATTGGTACTTAATTTATGTTGGTCATTATTTTAGTTTTTGTCTTATTTATTGTTAACCCGACTTCTTTACTCACTTTTATAAGTTCTTCAAGCATCATTTGTAGAGTTTCTGGGCTATCTGTCATGAGTACCAAATCATCAGCGAATCGTAAATGATTGAGTTTTTTTCCATCTATTTCAATACCTGCATTGTCCCAATCAAATGTTCTGAAGACCTCTTCAAGAACGCATGTGAATATCTTGGGAGATAAAGGATCACCCTGTCTAACGCCCCTGCTAATTGGAAAGACTTCCCCTAGTGTTTCAAGTTTGACGCATGCTGTGCTGTTCTTATATACATTCCTTATGAGTCGTATATATTTATTCTCTATTCCTTGGTTCTTGAGGGCTTGCCATATAGCATTATGTTCGAGAGAGTCAAACACCCAACTATAGTCTATGAAAGCAAGGTACAAAGGAAGTCTGTATTCTTTGTATTTTTCAATTATTTGTTTTATTGTGTGCATATGATCTACAGTGGAGAAACCTGATCTGAATCCTGCTTGTTCGATTGGTATATGTTCATCGAGTTATTTCGTAATACGATTCAATATGATTTTGGCAAAGACTTTATAGATATTGGATTGGATATGTATAATATACATTTACGAAAAACTAAATTATGTGTTTAGATCAGATATCTAGTGCCCGTAACAAGCTGTAGCTAGCTTATCTTGGGTCTAGATAGCGCTGTGTGAATTGTCCCTAGATTATTATTATTGCATTCTGGACTGGATTATGATGTTCTGCCTGTTGTTCTGTAATTTGCCTTTAAACAACTTATAGCCTACAAAGTAACCGGCCGGGTGGCTGAAATAGGTAGACAGAGGTACCCACATAATTCACTTTTTACATAGACTACTTCAGTAAAGGGTTACAATGCTGTATAAATTGATATAAAAAAATTAAAAAGTATAGAAATTAAAATAATTTTCCTACCTGGTTTTGTTGCTTTGAAATCCCACCAGTAACCTTTGCTAGGGTGATATTTTGAGTATGACATAGTCTCTTCAAAAGAACATTGTAGGTGATGCACTGCTGACAACTATAAATAAAAGAGTAATATTTATTATATTTGTTGATATAATTAAAAAAATATATATATCAACAAATATAATTCAAAAATAAAAAATCAAATAATATACAAATATAGATAATTCAATTCTATTACAAAATGTGAAAGTGATTTTTTTTCTTATTTTACTTTGACACACTTAAGAACTCAATTATCACAAAAATTTAAATACATTTATTTGAGACTAGATGCTCAAGTTAAGCTAGCTAAAGCTTGTGGTATGGACACTAGATAACTGATACAAATACATAGATTTTTTTTTTTTATAAATACATATACATAGTCTTATCCATAGTATAATAATTACAATAAATGAATGCATACCAATCTAGAGTTCAATACACTTGCTAGGTCAGGGGCTTGATAAACAATGCCTGCTATGATGTAATAATCAGCTAATGGAGTAGCTTGATTTGGTCCATATCGATGTTGTTTACGAATTACATACAAAATAGGGTCCTGCACGTGTAGCAGTATGTATTCCAAACCTGTCATATTTCTGTAAAATATAAATAGATAAAATAAAACAATGAGCATAGAAATATATAAGTATAAATATGAAGAAACAACCAAAGAATTTGGGTACTGATTTGGTATGTCAACTTACTGCAATTGATCCATACTCAAGCGCTGCATTTTTACCACTTCATTGTTGCAGGTACGATCAAAAAAAGGATTAGAGCGCTCAGAAAAATAATCCATTATGTTGGAAGGAGTTAATAAAGGAATCCAAGCCGAGTCGTGCCATGAAAGCCCTAGGGGATTTTCTGATGAAATAGGCATATTACCGATTCTTGCAGGCATCATTTTGAATTACTTTGGAGGAGTAATTTGGTAATGATAACGTAAACCACAATACAATTCAGATACAAGAGTTGTGCTATTTGTGTTGATCACAACAAATTTGATCTGTAAGGATCACAATGAACACAACGTACAGACCAAAGGTATAGACATTACAGAGTACTACAGAGCATATTTAAAAGCTCCTGACAGTGACATCCGTAGTAATCTGTTTTGCCATCTCTAAGTTGTGCTCTATAATTTGTGTCTGGTCTGTGATTTGTGTCATTAGTTACGTCTGACAAGCATGTCTGCTGAAACTGAGTTTTCGATTGTCTTGCTTTTGTCCTTTGAAGCTTTGTGGTTATTTCCAATTGCTTATTTATAGTCTTAGTCTAATTTATTTATACTTAAAATTTATAGTAGTCTCTTTCATATGATCTCTAATTAATAATTTTTTATCAAAGGAATCAGGCTCAATAAACAATATACAACAGCTTGTCCCATTTTATAATATTATGATTAAATTTCATAGAGTTAATGCAATACATTATGGAAAATCAAATAAGATGTTTTGAAGATATTTTTACTGAAGTTTTTAAAACCGATAAAATAGTTACCGATACATCATCTGACCAGGTAAATTAAAAATTATCAAAATTAACAATTTCTTCTGCTTAAATGTATGTTACTTTTGGTAACAATTCAATATATTCAACATTAAGTTGATGAGTTCTATAAATTTCCTTGTTCTAGGTTGATGTGGAAACTACGGTACTTAATATTTTTAAACAATTTGAGAAAAATGCCTCAGTTAATCCAGATCTACCAAAATTGAACAGGCATGCACATAGTAAAATATTAAATAATTGGCTAAAAGGGTTACATAAGAGCTATGAATGCTTAGATGCCAGTAGAACATGGTTAGTTTACTGGATATTACATTCATTATGGTTACTTAATGAATTGCCTGATGCTGAGACTATGTCACATATTGTGCAGTTTCTATCTCATTGCCAACATGAAGAGGGTGGGTATGGTGGTGGACCTGGGCAATATTCTCATCTCGGTACAACATATGCTGCAATTAATGCCCTTAGCATTATTGGAACTGATGAAGCCTATGACTCTATTGATAGAAGTTCTTTACAGAAGTTTTTATGGACACTTAGAGATGTTGATGGCTCTTTTGCTCTACATAAGGGTGGAGAGCAAGATATAAGAGGTGTATACTGTGCTCTCAGTGTAGCCAAGATTACAAACATATATACAGATGCCTTGTTTGATAAGACAGCGGAGTGGCTAGTTAGTTGCCAAACTTATGAAGGAGGGTTTGCAGGATGTCCAGGCATGGAAGCACATGGAGGTTATGCATTTTGTGGTATTGCTTCACTAGCTCTACTGAATAAATCTAATCTGTGTGATGTTGATGCATTGCTACGTTGGTGTGTGAATCGTCAAATGCGTCTGGAGGGTGGATTCCAAGGGAGAACAAATAAACTTGTAGATGGCTGCTATTCTTTTTGGCAAGGAGCAGCTTTTCCAATTATTAGTGCAATTCTTTCTCAAGGTTAGTATAATTATGTTTTATGAAAACTTTGTTTTATGAATATTTTAGTTTGTACTATTTAATTCAAACTGTTTTGTAGTAGAAACTGAAAAGCTATTAATATGTCAATGGTCTTATCACAATAAAGAAGTTGGTAATTGGTAGTTTTATACTATATTTTTAATAATGTAATGTAGAACTGATTTACAGAACAAAATAAAATCATAATAGGTATGTATTAAATAGTGTGGAGATTTAGGCTAAAATAAGAAGTGTGATATTTAATGAGTATATATTATATTACCTATATATGACCTAAAATGTTTTGTGGAGGATGGCACTATGACAAATTCAAAATTGTAACATATTCAACTTTCAATATTTTAGTTACATACACACACTGTTGGCTTCATGCCATTGAAACTAAAGGTGAGGTTGGCTATTAGCCCTGCTATAGCAAAAACATCTGAAAGGTCTTCAATTCAAATGTTGAATTTTTTTAAGACTGTCAAAGGGATCATACAAATAGATTTGCAGATGGATTGACTGATGACTTATTCTGATTATACAATACTGTTCTCCCCAAGACTGCTTTTGCTGTGTTCACATTCTGCACAATTTGTGCCAACATCCCTCGAAAGAGGGAAAAACAAACATAAAAACAAGTCATATGCAATTTCAAATTGCATATGACTTGTATATGAAATTGAGAATATTTTTACTAGAGTTTTCAATTGATATTCTCATGGCTCCGCAATGTTAGGTATGTTATATTGATATATAGAACTATTGAATATATATTGGTTTGGGGGACTAAATGATGATAATAATGAAATTGATCTAATACATTGTTAGCAATATGTTCACTACTTGCTACTACACTATTGCATTATTATTAATAATCCCTCGGCTATAGTTGTCACAGAATAAAATAGTATTTAAAAAAGATTGCTATTGTATCAAAATTCAGTGGGATAACTATATAGCTACAGTTATTTTATTTATAAGAAGATAGTCAGTGTTTTACATATTTAATATGAAATTAACAATTTTCGAATTAAAACTGTCCACTATATTGAAATTGTGACATTATGGCGTCGTTTGTTCCTTGGCACTGGTATGTAACAAACATTTAAAGTCTGTTGTTATCTTTCTTGACAAGCCATATCTTATATAAGTAAATGAGAATCAACTTTATACTGGAGTGTTAGTGAGGTATGTGATAACAAAAGATATACAAGAGGGTTTTAGCTGTACATAGACTATCATGTTTTGTTGATATTAATATGCGATTCTATTCATTTGGTTCTGTCCTTTTTCTCCAAAATGCATGACTTGGCAAGAGGTTCACTGTTTAACAGTACCTCTTGCTTATGTTCATAACACAGTCTGTTATGGTTCCCTACCTAATAATGTAGGTATGTTTAATCTTGTCTGACATTTTATTCTAATATACGCCGTTTATACTAAATAACTCCACTTGACAAACATTTTGAAAAATTAAACTACCTACACCATATCAGATGTATATACGTATTTGTATTTATGTGTATTGCGCGGTAAGTAAAAAGCTTTTGTTTTTTTTCAGACAATAAAGAAATTATTGAAACAGTGTTTTTCAATCAAGGTGCCTTACAAGAATATATACTCATTTGTTGCCAAGCTCGCGATGGTGGTCTTATTGACAAACCTGGAAAGTAAGTACTTACAGAACTAAGGCTTATGTTGTCTATTCTTTTTTTTGTAACTGGAATTGCAACAAACTGCCTTAAGAGTAGCATAGTCATCATGTCTTCATGTGATGCCGCACATGGCACACATGTATTCTTGGAGATTAAGTTATTATGCCGCCATTCTCAGTAATTTCACTACCATATATCACTCTCCAACTATAATACACTTTATGAAGTTGGCTCCGCACATAAAAATTTGTGAATGTAAAAAACCAGTCAGTCTCTTTTTTTTCACTTACAATTTCAGTCTATTCATGCACTACTGTTGCATCATTTTAAAGCCAACATGTAAATTGTTTCTACGTTCTAAAGCATAAAGCAGAGTTCAAACGGCTTTGCCTGCCGTCACAAGGGAAAACTCAAAATAATGAATACAAAGCATTCTATATGAAGGCCTTGTATACAATCGTTAATCTTTGTAATTAAACGTTATGTACATAAGCTTGTTTAGTCTACAAGTGTTCTTTTTTTTGTTATAGACTCCGAGATATATACCACACTTGTTATGCATTAAGCGGATTGTCTGTGGCTCAGCACGGAACCGGTGCGGGCGATCCCTTTGTTGTGGGCACTCCTCGCAACGAACTGAACAGAGTTCACCCCTTGCATAATGTCGCACCACATCTAGTTTATAACGCATTACATTATTTTATTAGACATCCACCTCCAGTTAAAGATAAAAACTAGCTAGGTTGCTGTTTGTTTGACACTTAATTGTAATTCCTATTTTCTATATCACATACAAAATATAGTATTCCTATTAATATGTTAGAAATTGCAATGTATATATTTATAAGTACATACATTTTATTTTTAATATTACAATCTCAGTAACAGTGCTAGAACTATTATTTTATAGAAAATTCCTTATCCATGGAAATTGTCAGTTGTCAGTGTTACATAATTAAGCTCCACATCCGAGTTGATACAGGAACTGTCGGAGTCAAACATAAGGTCCAACAAATCACTGCACTGTGTTGACGTTTGATTGCCTACGATGACGTGGTTCCACAGCCGGTTTGAAAACCTTGCACAATATAAGTTTTCGGTTGTAGAAAGGGACCAACACATTCCGACGTTAATTCTAAATTTTAATATGCAGAGGTACCAACATTGTAAGTAATGTGGGGTGTAAGACAATTAGCAATAACTTTAAAGGACTCTTAAAAACAACGACAATTGGTACTCAGACTCCATAGATATGTCTACGCAACTAAAATGACTCAGGTGAATTAGCGTTACATCGGAATGATGATATAGTGAACATTCTAAAAGTTCCGATCTCAGTGGAGTCGTTTCAGAAAACGCAGGTTGTAGATAAAGTTTATCGGAATGATTTATTTACCGTGAGGAAAAAATATGCATAATCATTTCACTATTCACATCCACAAGCGATTCCATTGTTTTTTTGCCATTTTGAGGAAGAAATTTCAAATATACAATTAAAACACTTTGTAGGTATTTATGAACTATGGTTCATACATACCATGTATTACACAAAGTGTGAAAGTTATGACTAAATCAGAGATAAAAAAAACCGATCGGTATATTTATTACTAGCGGTCCGCCCCGCTGCCAAATAACGGTTTTTTTTAATTATTAGTAGTGTTTAGGTTTCTGGCCCATTGAGAACAGAATATACGAGTGACAAAATACCCATATTTATGGGAATTACTATCAATGGAAGAGATACAGAATCCAGGTAATCGTAACTCCGTGCATTATGTCCATCATCAGAATTAGTATACTAATTCGGTCTGTATGATTTGGCCAGATTAAAGTAGTTTCTTTAAGGCATGGTCTAGTATCAGATTTAGACTTAAATGTGAAAGTGTAGCTTGTATGTTCATGCTGAGCTGAAATTGAATAGTTTAAAAACAAATTTGTTCAAATTACTTAAACACTAGTCATTGTGTATTATTTAATGAATTAAATAATATACTTTATTAAATGTAGATACATTACAGGTATAGGTTTTTTTTAAACATATTTTGATATAATTATTTTTTACATTCTCAAAATGTTTATCTTAAAGCACTGTAGCTTTATTTATATAGTTTCCTGTAACATAACTTTTCAATAAGACTGCTTTTCATTTAATACATGACTATTTGATTTATTAAGTAACTAAATAAATAATATAAGTAAGCTAAGTAATGTAACATTATACTAATACAAATTCTTCTGACTCAATGTCAGTATCATAGTCTTGTATACTTGAAGTCACCCAGTTTGACTCAGTTTCATAAATAGAATGTCTTATATTTGGTGGGTCTAATACTTTACTGCATGATCCATTCTGTAATGTAAAGATTGGATATTCAAAGTTTGCAGACACTCCCTGTGGTATTAGGAAGGACATTATGACATTAACAAAGGTATCAAAATCATGCTGTGTTGCAAGATAAAAGCCTATACAACATGATGGATCCATTTTATTAAGTGGCATCTTTCTTGGAGATCGACAATGAAATGTTTGCAATGAAAATTGGGGTTGCCATACATCTACCATTTCTTGGCAGTAGTGTGGGTCTAAATGAATCAATCTATCATCTTGATAACCTATAAAGTATAAAGAATGTTTTGGTCTTCCCCCTATAATACCTATACAAAAGTCTAGTGTGAGCAGTGAAGTAAGACAGGGTCCATAAATTGGGTTAAATTTGTCAGTTCCTAATTTTACAGGTACCAATAGTATAAGGGATTTCCATGAACCATTGGCCATCAAACACAAAGAGTTAATATCTTCAATATAAACAGTTGAATCTTGAGCGACATACACTTCCAAGTTATCAAATTCATAATTTTCCTTAGAGGCAGCAGTCACAACAGCTTTTAAACAGTGTGCTACTGATGCAGGACCATACCAGTCTCCTGGTTTCTTTCCTAGAGCCTCACCTAAGCTCACCATTTGATGAATAGAGAGAGGGCTATTTACTGATGATTTATCTCCAAACCATTTTATAATCATTCTATGCAAGCAATCTTCTTGAAACTCTCTAGCATTTTGGATAGCTTTATCTGGCAACCATCTCCAAGTGCGTCCAAGAAAATGACACACTAAAGCTTGTGCTAGTAACATTTGACCGCTGCGTAACATGCATCCCCAACCACAATCGGTGGTAAAGGTGGAGCCAGATATAGTGGGAAATTCTCGTCTATATGTCATCCATAATCTACTTATGAAATCTGATTTGAAACCTTCTATACCTTCTCCATAAATCTGATCCATAGATTCATGTGCAGTTGCTTCAGTTCCTATTTCTGTCGAAGACTCCAATGAACCTGAAGGACTTAGTTTACGGTGGTAACAGCGCCCTAATAGCCATACAGGGGATTCTTTGGAGAAACTTGTCTTGATTTTCACTGTCCATCCGAATTTCATGTTATTCCACATGGAAAGTAGTTTAGATTCGACTTTACCTTTAAGGTCTTCTGTGTTGTCACGTCCATTATCTCTTGATCCAGTAGCTCGATTTCTTTCAATTTTTGTTGAAGGTGTACCTTGCATAGCATCACTACTGTGGGTCTTCAGCTCAGAGTTACGCGCTACAACGCCACTTGATGCTTTCATGATTTTTGATACGGCATAATATTTTATATTTATCTTTATATTTTTAATAACGTAAAACGCAAGGAAAACACTGTAATTTGTAAAAAGTTATTAAAAATTACCAAACAAATACAATGTAAATGTCAGTTTGATATAAGTTAGACTAGACTGACAAATTCAGAGATAGAAGTGTGTATAATGTCATAGACTTAGTTCTCTGAAGATTAGGCTGTATGGTCTGGCACTTTTGCCTATCCACTTGTGGATAAAATATACCACTATTACTACTACTTAGTTCTTGCTGTATGGTCTCGTACCTTTGCCTATCCACTTGTTCTTTTTAATATGGGTACTCTATGCATCAAATGTCAAAATCGTCACAGAATGGCTCAAATGTGTGATTTAGTTTTGTCGTGAATTTGTTGGTTATTTTGTTTTATATGTATTTACTTTTTGAAATTTGAATTTCTTGTCTTGATTTCTTTGGTGGTTACAATTTACATAAAGTTTTATACACATAAAGACATCAAAGTTATAAACTTTGATGTCTAAAAGACATTAAATCACTGTTTATCTATATTTTTATTCCTTTAATGTCATTCCGAAATGAGAAAAACTAAGAAATATAATAGTAAAAATAAAAAAATATTAACAAAAAAAATAAAGAAAAAGAAATTCGAAAACCCCGTTAACAAAAAAAAATTATTTAATAGATATAAAGATAAACAAAAAGCAGAAGAGGATTTAAAGAAAAAAAAGTGGGATAGAATACTTCAGGAAAGGCAAACTATTTATTCTGACACCGAGGGTGAGGATGAAGATGCATATGTACAACTGGTATCTAGTTTCACTACTAAAAAAGACAAGGTCGCTGTAGATAGTGAGGAAAATTCCAGCAGTGACAGTTCTGATTCTGAAGATATTAGAGAAACTGATAATAATTTCGAGCAACAAAATTGCTCACATAAACATCTGCGTGCTACAGCAATATTAAATGAAGAAAAACATGAATCTGAATTGGTAGAGGTAAGTCTCGGTACTGTAATATTGTTGTGTGGACATTCTATTACATGGGTTAGTTCTTAGTTTGTCCTAAATAAACTTCATCCCTACTTTTTTATTCAATATTTCCTTTTTCCAAAATCATCTTCCTACCTCCTTTTCTGTTGAAACAGCTCTTGATGTTATTTACCAAGGTTTAGTAGTAGATGGATATAAATAATATTTATAATATTTAAATGTGTTGTAAAATGGTTTACTGCTAATAATATGCTATTAAATGGAGATAAACCAAAGTGTATTAAATTTACGCTCCTCAATGTAAGGAAGCTTGATTCAAAAATTGTACTGAACAATAAACTTATTAACTTTGTTGATGATACTGTATTTCTTGGTATCACATTAGACTCCAAACTGCAATGGGGTGCTCATATTTCTAAATTGGCGAATAGACTTAGTTCTGCCGCTTATGCGGTAAGAAGAATTAGACAATTAACCGATGTGGCAATGCCTAAACTCATGTATTTTAGCTGTTTTCATAGCATTATGTCATATGGTATTTTATTATGGGGCAAAGCAGCTGATATAAATACAGTACAGTGGACCCCCAGTAGTCCGACAATCATTTTGCAGGGCAGTGTCGGACTATCGAATTTGTCAGATTATAGAGTACTGCCTAAGACCCCTTATAGTCCGAATTTTTTTACAAAAGAGTACCTTGTAATCCGACAAATTATAGATACAATGATGATTCTTTGTATTATATTCATATACAGTGGACCCCCGGTTATCCGACAAACGTCTTGCAGGGCAGTGTCGGACCATCATATTTGTCCGATTATAGAGTGCTGCTTAAGGGTCCTCTGCTTATAGTCCCGAATTTTTTACAAAAGAGTATCTTGTAATCCGACAAATTACAAATCCAGTGATAAGATTCTATGTTATATATGTATGTATGTATATGTACTCTGAAGTATATTGTCAAAGTAATAGTCAATAACAAATAATAGACAATGTCGGATTACAAGGGGGGCCGGATTAGACAGGGGCCGGATTGCCGCGGGTTCAGTGTATTTATTTTGCAAAACAGGGCCATCCGCTCCATATCACAACAACACTACTGTCAACAACAACACTACTGTCAACAAACTAGTTTTACCTAAGTGCCATTTGACGAAAATTAATTCGTTTTATGGAAATTGCATAAGGTTTTACAACAAACTCCCAGAGTCTGTAGTCAATTTGCCAGAAAAAAAAATCAAATATATCATAAAATATTTTCTTTGTAAAAAACTTATTAAAAAATGGAAGAATTTATAAATGATAATAATGTTTTTGTAGAAAATATCTAACTTAAATTACATAGCGCTGACAATGTTATCTGATTGAACAGAGATTAAGTGCGTAGCGGTTTCTATGTTGATTGTCGCATGCCTAATCCTTGTTGTTAATTAAATTGGATAAATTAATAGAGTTGGGAAATTACAACATGGAGCGGTTCACCTCATTGACAGAGAAATGTTGTTGTGAGACACCTGAATCTCCTAAATCTTGTCAATATAGCCCTAATGGAAATAACAATAAGTCAATCACATCAGTCTTGACTGAGTCAATCACTCCTTGTTCAAATTTACTCAATTCTAATTTGTCTTTAAAAACTGATAATTGTAATGTTGCACCAGTATGAAGGACAATTATTTATTCAGATGAATATGGTAAGGGTCTGGGCCGTTCATTATCAGAAAGTCTATCTCAACATGTCATAAATAATTGTCATCCTGGTACTTCATTGCCTAATTTTTAAATAAGGTGGTTAATGGTAGGTATGATAAGCTAATCACATTGGTCATTGCTTTAGGCAACTGTTTATATGTAAAAAAAAGTCATGTCATTAAACTTGTAAACTCTTTGCTTAATATTGCTGAGCTGGGCATAGGTAAAATAATTTTATGTGCATTTCCTTACTGTCGTTCTCTGACTATTGAACAAAATAAGTTCATATATTAATAATAAATTAATTATAATTTATAATATGACATGTCGTCATAATGACTTTTTATTTTTTGATAGTAACAAATTTGTTACAAACTTTTGTATGACTGGAGATAGATTTTATCTGCCTAAAAAACAAATAAGAAATATAGCTAGTTTACTAGCTTATAATATAAATGACCCCATTATAAGTAATATAATGGGATGCATTAATCTAATTAGTAGTACTTGTACTAATGCTAATACTAAACATACTGAAAATATTGACATAATTATTGATTCTAGCAAGAATCATTTTATTTACAATAATTTAAATATGACTGCAGATTTAAACTGCTGAAAAAGACAAAGGGAAAGTTATCAGAATTGAAAATTGTTCACCAGAACATACAAAGTTTTCTCGGCTGTGAATTAATTATTCAATTGTTTTTAGAAAAAAATAATATAGATGTTCTATGTTTAACTGAACATTGGCTCAAAGTGAGCAACATGATGTTAAGCTTAAACAATTATAATATTGTCAGCTGCTTTAATAGAAAAATAGTAAATAGAGGAGGTTCCATGATATTGGTGAAAAATAATATAAAAGTAAAAGAACATAGTGATATTGGCAATCTTTCCGTTGAGTGTTGTATTGAAATTTCCAGTGTGGAACTAGAAAATTATATAGTTATGTGTGTATATAGACCTCCAAATAGTGATTATAATTTATTTGAAGAGGTAATGGAGGATATTCTAAAATGAGTATTTAATATTAACAAAAAAATTATAGTGTGTGGTGATTTCAATGTTGACATTTTATCACATAACACCACAAAAACTAAATTAATGAGTTTATTTCAATCTTTTGACTTGAGTAATGTCTTCCATGAACCCACTCGTATCACAGCCACGTCTGCTACTTGTTTGGATAACATATTTAGCAATAGTGAGTATCTAGATAAAATAATAATAAACAACCTTCCTTCTGATCACTGTGGTCAAATAGTAATTTTTCCAAATCATGTAAACAAAATTGGGAAAATTAATCTATTAAAAAGAGACTTGACTAGTTATAAGATAAATAAATTTAAAATGTCAGTTCGTAGTAAATTAGATTTTTATCCTCAATCCGATGAACCTAACAAACTTTATACTGATTTCTTCAATATTGTTTCAACGAATATAATAAGGCTTTTAACAAAAAAACTATCAGTATTAGTAACAAAACAAAATTTTCAGAATGGGCTACAAAGGGAATTCTTAAAAGTAGAAATTTATTATTTGATTTATATGATCAAAAAAATACCGTTTCGATAGCACATTCGTAAATTATGTAAAAAGATACTCAAAAACTTTTAAAAAGGTATGTAATGTAGCATAGTCTAACTATCTAAATAAAAAAATTAAAGAATCCAAGGATAAGACAAGGACAGTGTGGAATATTATTAACAAAGAAACTGGCAAAGTTAAAAGTCCAAATAATGATTTTACGTTAAATTATAATGATAAACTAGTAACGTCCACAAAAGAAATAGTCAATATTTTTGATAGAAATAGAAATAGAACTAATCTTTATTCAAATAAACTCATTACAAGCACTTTTGAATAGTCATATTTTGATTCTACCACTCATTCGGAATGCAGATTCATCACAAGAAGAATGAGCAAGAAACTTGTGTGTTGCTCTTTTTAATAGATGTTTTTTTTATATAAATAATTACAGTATAACAAGTAAGAGGCATGCGATAATCAACATAGAAGTCGCTACGCACTCATTATTAATGTAATCAGATAATATTGTCAGTGCTATAGATTTAAAGTTTTTCTATAAAAACATTATTATCGTTAACGAATTCTTCAATTTTATAGTAAGCTTTTTTGCAAAGGAACTGTTTTATTTGACATTTAAATCTTTTTTCTGGCAGATTTATAACAGACTCTGGTATTTTATTGTAAAACCTTACGCAATTGCCATAAAACGAATTACTAACTTTAGCCAAACGACATTTAGGTAAAATCAGTTTGTTATTGTTACGTAAGCTTTTATTAGTGCAATCACTAACTCTTTTGAAACTGTCTATATTCCTTCTGGCATAGATGATATTTTCATAAATGTATTGAGAAGCAACGGTGAGGATATTTGATAAATTTTTCGCTAATATTCCAACTGATATTACGTCTCCTTTGGATTCTTCTCCAAGTACAGCTAAATTATTCCTTATTGACAATGTTGCTTCGTGTCCGGTTACATTTAAATTTACATTTATTGTCATTGCTACAATTACATTTAAACAATTAAATTTAAAAAATACTGACGACCTTTGGGGCATGTCTGTTAAAGTTATTGACACCGCTATAGATGTTATTGCTCCATATTTAGTAACTATCTTCAATAAATGTATTTTTGACGATGTTTTTCCCAATTTAATGAAACATAGCAAAATAACTCCACTTTATAAGTCAGGGGATAAAACAGAAGTAGATAATTATAGGCCCATTTCTATTTTACCAGTACTAAGTGTTTGAAAAAATTATGCTCAATCAAATGCTTCAACACTTTAAAATAAATGGACTGCTTCACAGTCAGCAATTTGGTTTCACAGCCGGTTAATCAACTACTGACGCTGGTGTAGCTTTAATGAAAGACATTTTTGACTGTTGGGAGAGGTCTCAGGATGCTATCGGTGTATTCTGTGACCTTTCAAAAGCATTTGATTGCGTTGATCATGAAACACTCTTGCTCAAACTAGAACATTACGGTATTAGATATGAAGCACTAAGCATGATGAAATCCTATCTAAATAATAGAATGCAAGTTGTTGAAATAAATGGTGTAAAGTCTGAGGGAACTAGTATTAAAATGGGTGTTCCTCAGGGCTCTATTCTAGGTCCTTTCTTATTTTTAGTTTACATAAACGATCTTCCTTATATGGTATAAAAGATAGCTGACATAGTTCTGTTTGCTGATGATACTTCATTAGTATTCAAAGTCAGTCGACATATTGATGATATGGACGAAGTAAATGGTGCTCTCTCTTATGTTTTGAAATGGTTTACTGCTAATAATATGCTACTAAATGCAAATAAAACTAAATGTATCAAATTTACTCTCCCCAATGTAAGGCCAGTAGATTAAAAAATCGTATTGGACAATAAACCTATTAATTTTGTTGACGAAACTCTATTTTTAGGTATCACATTAGATTCCAAGTTGCAATGGGGTGCTCATATTGCTAAATTGGCGAGTCGACTTAGTTCTGCCGCTTATGCGGTAAGAAGAATTAGACAATTAACAGACGTGGCAACGGCTAAACTTGTCTATTTTAGCTATTTCCATAGCATTATGTCGTATGGTATTTTGTTATGGGGCAAAGCAGCTGATATAAATACAATATTTAGTTTACAAAAGAGGGCCTGTCGCTCCATTTATGGTATGGGTTCCAGGGAGTCATTGCGAGAGTGTTTTAAGGAATCAAATATCCTCACCGTTGCTTCTCAATACATTTATGAAAATATCATCTATACCAGGAAAAATATAGACAGTTTCAAAAGAGTTAGTGATTGCACCAATAAAAGCTTACGTAACAATAACAAACTGATTTTACCTAAATGTCGTTTGGCTAAAGTTAGTAATTCGTTTTATGGAAATTGCGTAAGGTTTTACAATAAAATACCAGAGTCTGTTATAAATCTGCCAGAAAAAAGATTTAAATGTCAAATAAAACAGTTCCTTTGCAAAAAATCTTACTATAAAATTGATGAATTCCTTAACGATAATAAAGTTTTTATAGAAAAACTTTAAATCCATAGCACTGACAATATTATCTAATTACACTAATAATGAGTGCGTAGCGATTTCTATGTTGATTATCGCATGGCTCTTACTTGTTGTACTGTAATTATTTATATAAAAAAAACATCTATTAAAAAGACCAACACACAAGTTTCTTGCTCGTTCTTCTTGTGATGAATCTGCATTCCGAATGAGTGGTAGAATCAAAATATGACTATTCAAAAGTGCTTGTAATGAGTTTATTTGAATAAAGATTATTTCTATTTCTATTTCTAAATATAAGTAATTCAATATTTTTTTAAAAGAACAACTCAACACAACAAGTTTCTTGCTTATTCTTCTTGTGATGATTCTGCATTCCGAATAAGCGGTAGAATAAAAAAACTTGACTATTCAAAAGATATATTGTGATAAAATATAAATGTGTTATCATTTGGTAAAGCTCATGACACCATACCAGAACACGCAATATATATGAATAGGAGAACCTTCCATTCATAGTACATAAGTAATAATAGAGACCTGTGAAATGCTTATATTAAGTTTATTTGAATAAAGATTTTTTCTATTTCTATTTCTATACATTTCTACAGCAGATTTTGTTTATTCCATTTTCCTTAATTTTGTGCATATTAATTAATGCATAATAATAAGTGTTAAAGAAATCTATACAACCAAAGATCTTTCAATGGAATGAAAGAAACTTTTATATTTACATACACATATGGATAACTACCATATAAGAAACTATAAGAATTGTTATTATAAGTCTGCTGCTAAATAAAAATATCATTGAATCTAAATATCTATTGAATCACCTTTCTGTAACTATCATGTCATATTTTTTTTCTCATAATACACAAGTCACCTGGAATAACATTTATAATTAGAAAGCAGAGGGGGCGTAAAAGTAGGATTAAATTATGTGAAAATCAAATGACAAAATAGTAATTATATTTCTTATAATTGCTTCATTTTATATTTCAGGATTCTGATGAAGATGATATTGAGACAGAACAGGATAGCAATAATGATCCTTTCACTAGACACCTACAACATGATTTAAGTGATGATTTCTTAATTTCCCTCTCAAATAATTCACCAAATGTAGATCAAACCACCAAACTCTGGCCTGTACTTGGTAACTTTTCTATTACAATACCAAAACCAGTAAACAGTAATCTAAAGAGAGCTGCACCGAAGATCTCAATATTAGAAGAAAAAACTTATGCTCCTTGTGCATCAGCTCCACTTCCCATCGGTAACATAGACTTTAAGCAACTATATTTAAAGTCACAAATTCATGGGAACATTACATCTGCTAATAAAATCAATTTAATTAAAAAAGATTTAGAATTGACAGAAGTGTTAACACCTTTGCAAAAGGAGCTCTTTGCTATTATAAATAATTATCAAGATTTGTATTACCCTGAAAGGACATTTATAAATGCAGATGAAATACGGTATATTTATTGTCTCCATGTTGTAAATCACATGTTAAAAACACGAACCAAAATTATACACCACAATGCAAAGTTATTAAAAAAATCTAACATATCTGATGAATATCGAGATCAAGGCTTGGTCCGGCCAAAGGTAAATATTGTCATGCTTTTATCATATATTCATACTACATTTGTAATATATAAAATTAAGGATTATCTAAGAGGTGAATTTACTTATCTTATGGCATCCTAGACTATTAAATACTTTGGCCTCTCTGTGCAGTAAAAATCTGAAATCAGGGATAAAAGGGGATTGTTAGTAGTGGGTACTTGAAGTTGGTTTATGATCAATTTGTCACACTAGTATTTTACTAATATCAAACTATAATATCTTCTCAGAGAAAATAATTTACTAATTTGGTTTTTTAGGTTATAATAATGGTTCCATTCAAAGATGCAGCTTATAGGGTTATTAAAACCATTATTGACATTTTAGTACCAAAAGAGGCGGGACAAGTACTTAATAAAAATAGGTTTGAAGATGATTTCACTGGCGGTGAACTGGCAATGCCTAAAAAGAACCCTAAACCAGAAGATTATGAACTATTATTTTCTGGTAACACTGAAGATACTTTTCGTCTTGGGATGACTGTAACTAAGAAGACACTAAAGGTAATAAGCCACTTACATAATTATTAATTTTAATAAAAGTCAATTAGATATTAATTAATAATAAACAGATATAAAATATGCATTATTACATAGCAAAATGTTTGTGATATCTATATTTTGAATCCATATTGGCATTAGGAAAGTGTTGTTATTATTGGTTAAACAATTAGAAATACAACAGATTTTGTTTCTTTCACAACTTTAAACAACCTACCTTACCTAACCTTACCTAATCTTTCTTTCACAACCTTTAAATCTGAGTAAACCACAGGACATTCTGCAATGCAAAGTAATAAATTAATTTTTTTTTCAGCTATACACAGACTTTTATTCATCTGATATTATAGTGGCTTCACCTCTTGGATTGCGAATGATAGTTGGAGCGGAAGGGGAGGAAGATCGCGATTATGACTTTTTGGCTTCTATAGAATTGTTGGTGATGGACCAAGCTGATGTATTCTTAATGCAAAATTGGGACCACTTGTTGCATGTTTTGGATCATTTCCATTTACAACCTAAAAAAACTCATGGAACAGATTTCTCTAGAGTTAGATCTTGGGCTGCAAATGGATGGTCGAAATACTACAGGTAGTAGATGTTGTACAATAATAAAATATTAAAAAAATAATAAGTTACACTTATGATTTGTTTATTTCTGTAAATATATTTTCAGACTTTTAGACTATTAAAAATATGGTTTATACTAAATATGAAATCTCATAAAAATTATATGCATAAATAGCAAAATCAATTCAAAATAATCGATATCAACATCAAGATGCTTCATATACATACATATATTACTGACTTTTGAGTAGTAATGTACACTGTTTCGTTTTACAGGCAAACATTGGTATTTTCTTCCTTATTGTTGCCAGAAATAAAGGCTGTTATGAATAGGAAATGCTACAACTATGCTGGGAAAGTTTTAATAGCTAATCTCATTGAGGTGGGCACCATACAGCAAGTGTTAATACAAGTACCGCAAATATTCTATAGGTGTGTATTACGATATACCAATTACTTTCTGTCTAAACTATATCATTACCATTTATTCATACTATTCGCCATTAGATGATTATAATCTCAAATCTTGTCTTATTATAATTTAAATTTTACAGGTTCAGGGCCACCAATCCATTGAATTCGGTTGACGAACGGTTTGATTACTTCATTAAAGAAATTTTACCAAAACAACGTGACACATTAATGAGTCATACACTCTTATACATACCCAGTTATTTCGATTATGTTCGCATTCGTAATTATTTTAAAAAGGAAGATATTAGTTTTGTACAGATATGTGAATATTCTAAGGTAAGTGAATTGTTAGTGTTGATTCAGTATTTTTTCAATATCTTCCATTAAATTTGGTAAAGTGCGTGTCTGTTTTGCACACTGTGTGTTCAAAATATTGTAAACTTTTATTTTTTTATATGATTAAAACACTAGAAAAATATTCATCAAATTTTCCCTGAAATCTTTGCGAAATAATTTTAAATACTGTTTCTAATTTCATGTTAAATCATGATTTCCTTTTTCTCTATTTATAGGATTCCAAAACGGCAAGAGCACGTGACATGTTCTTCCACACCGAAGCTCATTTCTTATTGTACTCTGAGAGAGTTCATTTTTTCAGAAGATTTCGTATTAAGGGCATTCGTCATATAATATTCTATCAGCCGCCTACATATCCTCATTTTTATTCAGAAATGTGTAATCTTATGCAGGTAATTATTTTTACTACTGTAGTCTTACACATAGTTTTGGATGATAATAGAATAGTAATTCTAGCAGCGCCAATACCATACCCTGTAATGTTTCTACTATATGCCACCCTTCAAATCGATAGTCTGGGAAACAAGCTGTCCTATCCTTCAAGTAGGAGTTGGCTTTCAACCATACCATAAGTCCTACAGCGGGTTTGGAGTGCCTTACGTTCTTGCCTCCGTTATCCGGTAAAACTTGCAGCTACAACTTATCTGAGGGTAACAGCATCAGAATACATATATTTAACAAAAATGATTAAGTAATATGTATATATAATGATGAATTATTAATAAACGATATTGAATTCGCTAGAGGGAGAAGTTAGAAGTCTAGTAAGAAGATAAAAGGCCTAGTCTCACCTACTGCAGCTGCCAAGCAACTTGGTTTGTAAACTGTATTTTTCTTGTACGATACAGATTAGGCAGTGAAACTACAGAAGAGGCATGACATTTTAATCCTCTGGAATGTCAACACATGTGTGGTACCGCAGCTGTCACATTATTATAACGTGATTTCTGTAGAGCTTTTGCTGCAGTGAAAATAAAAATAATAATAATTAGTTTTCAAGTCTGGCACTTGTTCATAGTTAGGTTAAGTTTAGTATTCCTTTATGTTAATTCCCGCCCTAAAAGCCTTAACCCAGTTACCCGGAGGTTGTTGCCCCGCAGTTGATCCGGGCAACAACCCCAGGGCGGTGCGCCCTGAGGCCCCAACGGATGCCTGGTATCTGTGGTTAACGTTTCTCTTAATGGTTTGGCATTCAAATTACGTAAAAAATATTTGAACATGTTCCGGATTACGATACATATAAATTTCAGGAGTGTAATCAAAACAAGTACGGCGGTAGCGAGTGTAACATGACGGTGTCAGTGGTGTTCAGTGCGTACGACGCTGCACGCCTCTCTGCTGTACTGGGCACTCAGCGCGCCGCCCGCATGTTGCATGCTGACAAGCCCGTGCATATGTACATGACGGGGGACTAATGAACATACGTATACAATTTATGTACTTCAGTCTGAAGAATCGCGCTTACAATTATGACGCGCTCGTCATCCTTCTGCGGCTGAGCGCCGTGCAATATTGTTCATCTGTCGCGCATTACGTTTGCGCGTGAAAACTACTTTTGTTATAATAAAATACCCTTATACACAACAAACCGAATATAAATACAGTCCCTAGTACCATACCTAAGATACTTATAAACATGCATTTATTTTTACCTACTTTTACTATAATTGTACTTGCGTACTTAGCAACTTTGTTATAATATAATAATATCTCAGGACAATATCATACAGGGTCATCTAGGTCCAAACTAAGCATAGATTGTGTTATGGGTAGGTACTAGACAACTGATATAAATCTTTAGATACATGTTTTGTAATACGTATATATACATAATACATTCAATTAGTTATTTAGAAATATTAGAAATTATGTAAACTTTATTTAAACAAGAAATTATTAATGTACATGTTGTTACCAAATTATCTGCTTTTTTAAAAATTATCAATCTGCTTTTCTTTCTATAGGACACAGATTTTAAAGTATACATTTCTATAATGATGGAATTTTGTATCCATGTTGTATTTTTTTTTCAGATAAGTAAAATAAATGCAAATAATCCCACTTGATTTACGCAATTAAAATATTAGTTACCGCTTCAGTCGCAGTGGTGGTGGAAGTCGCTTAATTAGTTACTGTAATACCAATAATCAAACGAACTTAAGACCTAAATAAAGAACAATTTAGAAGTGGCTCGCATTAATAAGTTTAGACCCGACAGCCCGCACCGAGGACGCTGTTCAATTGGCATGTTAATTTCCAAAGTAGACAGGACTTAGCAACCAATGCGGGTCTGAATTTGATAATGTGAGCTCCCTCATGTAGAGAAGACATTTAGTATGAGATATATTTTTTAATTTTAATATTTTGATGCTTCTAAGGCCAAACTCCTTTAACATCGTAATATAATATATAACTACCCTGCTCCAGGCTACAGGGCACAGGAGCACCCTTAAAATATAACTATTAAAAAACATGCATCTGGTTTCAAAAGTGATAAATGTGAGTAATATGTGTTACGAATATCTGTTTCATTAGAAATAATTAAAATCTCACTTTCGTTATAAAAATATATTAAATGAAAAATGTTAATATTTGATTGTATCTTATTTTCCTATATGTATTTATTTTTTTATATGGTATTCTATGCGTTTTATTGGACTCAAATACAGTAAAGACAAACCACGACGGCTAGTCTCTCACCTGCATAATCTCCTAATGAAATTAATTTATTTGTACTTAAGAAGTATGGGTAAATAGGTATTTAAATGAAAACAAAATGCCATGTAACTGCTAAAATTATATTATAATGGAACCTAAAATTACTTTTTCCATTAAGTTATGAGATCAGCACTTTATAAATAAATGTATCACGTGGGAAAAAATTAAATGTGCGTAATATTTGGTACCGCCTTATTAGATTAAAAGTTGTTCTCACGTATCACGTAATACTAGAACATATAATTTTTAGTATAATAACGAATCAGTTCCTTAGGACTAGTAGGTAACAATTATATTATAGCCAATATAATATTAAGGGCATTTAGTTTTTTTTGTAGGCGTGTCTTAGACTGTATGATAGAAAGCTTATTAATAAGCTTTCTATCATTCAGTTCTAGTTTCTATCATTCTTTTCTATTATACTACCTGTTCATCTGACAGGTAATGCGTCGAACTCTATGAAGTTGGTACCTACTGCTAAGCCTTAATTGTACATAATACGATAATTAGGCAAAAATATAATTATATAAATTGGTGTTTTAGTTTTTATTTCCGATATTAATAACCTACCTCTCTAAATTTTGCTTAATTATTTTAGAAAATATATTGGCCATTTTTTTCTACTTAGATATTATCTCATCTTCATATATTGGAAATTAAATATTTTTAAGTTTAGAATCTTATGCAGACGTCATGTGGTTGTGTCGGTATCGTTGTAAATGCCGATATCCAACACACTATCGTTGTAGGGAGGCTGCAACGTGGACGGGGAATTTGACAGCAGCCCCTGATCAGAAACGGAATCATTTCGGCCAATGTTCATTGCATTTGCGAATTCTTCACTCATATTACTCGGTGTCGATTCGGTTGTGACATCATTCATTGTGAAATTGCTTCCTCCTGGAAATAAATTAATACATGTTTAGTACTATGTACCTATGTACACAGATTCTGATTCTACAGTATAAGTTGATGTATTTATAAACAATTTATACAAAGTTTTTTTAAATATAAGACCTGTGCAGAAATGTGTGATTGCTAGTATTTGTAATCTATTCTTGTATAAATCTCATATGTCTCACTAGACTTGCATAAAGTTGTGTATGTCTGCTGATTACAATTTTGGGCATTCAAAATTTATTGTGTAGATATTTTGCAATAGTTAAATATCAGTTTTCAGTATCTGCATTGTGCGCAATTAGATACACGTAGGTTCTTTACAATCACACACGCACACACAGGGTTCGTGTACCCACACAGCACAGACATATTATGTATTACAAATAATATTTAGAAACATGATAATAAGATAATATTTAACAACAATTATGTACTGGTATACACATTTCGGAAATCTAAACATGATATATTATTGATTTTATCTTTGTCAGCATGGCCTTTATTTAAAGCTCCTTAATAAATAAATATGTAGAACATAAAAAAAAGAAAATGGGGAATCTCCTGTTTAAAATTCTTTCTATTCAAAATTAATATTGATATACTATTTTTAAGAAACATACTTATTGGACGGAATAACTGTAAAAATAAACGTGAAACCTAATTAGACAATGTTTCTAGAAAATTCATATAATTTAATTAAAAATGAACATCAATTGAACAATAAAGACGGGCCTAAACCATTCGTTGATTATACGTGCTAGTGTTCAACTATTTGTATTGTATTTACACACAAATTACAAGATATAAAACTAAAAGCTAAGAAAAATTGTTTGATATGTTCACATTTCTATCTATCACAAATATAAGATTATAGTGAGTTCTTATAGACATGCTTACTTATTTCACGTCGAGCTATTCTGGGGCATCCGGTTGAAATCATTTAGTGATTTATATCTTATAAACATGATCAGTGAATAGCTGAGTGCCGGTTATTGTAACTGCTTACTCGTACCACACCTATATTTAGGATTACTGTTGCCGACGCTTTTACATCTGCAAACCGCGCATATTGCACAGTACTGAATATATAATGTACAATGGCACTTAGGTATGTTACGACGTTAAAATTATTTAATGTATGTAAATTTGCAAGTTTATATTTAACTAGCTATTACCTGCCACTTCGTCCGAGTGGAATTTAACTTTTTTTTTATTGAAAGTAATTACATTTCTTCTGCTATCTGCAAGTGAAAGTCCCGTCCCGTTCAGAGCTTACAAACAGACAGACAGACCAAATTAATTAAATTATTTTTTGATGTAAGTACCTACCTTCATCTGCTATAGTAGTAAATAGTTATTATTTTATCAGGGATTTACTATGAATGTAAGCACTGCAAATTATAGTATATTACTATAGAATTTTGTACTAACTGAACCCATTTCATTATTTCAACTCAAAGACCTTTACTATGAACAAAAACACGCTTTCACTCTTATTCTACTACAATGGGTGTTCATTGTAGTAGAATAACAGTGAAAGCGATTATTTAATAATTTTAATGCTAGCATCACGTCCTTAATGATTGAAGGATTCAGCAATTCCACTGTTGGAATAACAGTGGAATTGCTGAATCCTCAGCTGACGCCTTATATTTTTTAGTTTGATTGCTTATTTCGTTTTCCAGAGCTATCTCAGTTTCATTCACATTAATACTTATACATCACATAATTATACAGCGCTGGAATCCGCAAAGTTTCCAATAATATATTTCGACCTTCACAACGACTTAAAGGTAATTCAGCAAATTATTTATTAATCCGTTTAACATTGAAGGTTTTGCTATATAGGTTTTTTGGGTTTATTCAGGGAATAAACCTTTAACAGATAAAGACTTGGTAAATGTTTTCAGAGCTACGTTGGAGTTTGGATTCTATTTTTAAACCGAACCTTAAAATATCTGCTATCCACTTCACATAGTCGCCGTCAAGCCTTTTGACATTTTATTCACGTCCCCAACTGTTACGCAGGTACTCATACTAAAACACAGTTAGGACTTCCCTGCTCTACTGGTATAATTAATAGGGCGTGATTTGATTTTGGATTTCACTCCCTGTCCCTGTTCAAAGTTTTTTATGAGTGACTGGATATTATATTTACTAAAATAACCTTGTACCTACCTACTGTCTTAACATTTACTTGATCATTTATGTACGAAGGTAAACGTAGGTTAGTATTATTATTATTACAAGTAAAGAAATCTTAAAACATTAACAATCGTTTTTAAACAGTAAGTAGCATGTGGGATAACTGTAAAGGAACTTTTACGTTTACGCCCTACATAAGTGCCAACCCACAGAAAGCAAGGCTAATCGGGTGGTTGACCCAATTGAGTTAAAAATAAGGACCTACCATAAAAACTTCAAACATTTGTATTTTCAGCTTTTTGAATGAACATGAAAGACAAGGTGTTTATAATTACAATTTTAATGTGTTTACTAGACATGTGTAGGTACATACAACGCATTAAAATATCGTAAATTTTTTGTATTCCCCATTAAAGTCGTGTGGAACAGATTCCACTTCAAATTTTATAATTGATCGATCGTAAACGTATTCTAATATAGATTCTTAAAAATACCGCCACGCTAGTGAGTAGGAAAGAAGCGTTATAATATAACATAATAGCTGTGCCTGCGACTTCGTCCGCGTGGAATAGTGACCTTGACAAGAAAAATTATTTAGAATAAAGTTTATTCGGTTACCTTTATGGGTTAGGGCCATAAAGGTAACCGAATAAACTTTATTCTAGCTTAAAAAAATTACATACTTTTAATGTCATCTATACCTACATATAAATAAAATTGAAGTGTCTGTTTGTAATTACGAAATTAACGTTTTTTAACACATGCATATGAATATAAAAACAGTACCTACATACACCAAAATAACATTTTTTACAATTTTTGTCTGTGTCTGTTTGTTCCAGCTAATCGCTGAAATGGCTACACCGATTTTGACGGGACTATTTTTGGCAAGTAGCTGATGTAATCAGGAGTAACTTTAACTTCTTTTTTTCTTTCAGATTTTTTTTTAAATAGAGTTAAATTCCACGCGGACGAAGTCGCGTGTACAGCTAGTACCTAAATAAAATTGGCGTGTCTGTTTGTAATATTGAAATAACCCTTTTTTACTAAATGCATATAAATATAAATACGGTACCTACACTAAAACAACGTTTTTTACAAATTTTGTCTGTCTGTTTGTTCCGGCTAATCTGTAAAATGGCTGGACTGATTTTGACGGGACTTTTTTTTGGCAGGTAACTGATGTAATAGTCAGTAACTTAAGCCAGTTTTATTTTTGAAAAATTCTTTAAATTTAAAAATAATAAGCTAAATTCCACGCGGACGATTTCGCGGGAACAGCTAATCCTTACTAATATTATAAATGCGAAAGTAACTCTGTCTGTCTGTCTGTCTGTCTCGCTTTCACGCCAAAACTACTGAACTGATTTAAATGAAATTTGGTACCCATATAGTCTAGACACCGAGGAAGGACATAGGCTACTTTTTAATGCGAAAAAAGGGTTGTAAGGGGTTGAAAATGGTAATGCAAGGTTATCTTTATGCGGTTGAATACACACTTATTATAATAATGGCTTAAATAAAAATTAGATATTTTGGAAAGTCTACTTTATAATTGTGTTATTAAGTCTATTTTCAAAAATTTTTAATTTCTGAATTACACCAGTATTGTACTAGATATGCGACTTATTAACGCTCATATGTCATAAATAAACATATATGTCATTTGTATAAGTTGCGCGCGCAACTGATTATTGTCAATCCGTTGTCTCCTTATGAATTTAAATGAATAAACGTTTGCTCTGCAATTTTATTTTATAAATACATAAATATAATCCTGGTATAGCCTATAACTGATGACCCTGCTCTTGGTTCTACAAGAGCGTAAGAACATATTATTAATATTTTTGAAGAATAAAACAACATATAATATTAAAAATGTCAATACATATGAACAACATTTCCTTGGAAGAAACAACATCTACCGTTCCATCCGAGCTATTCAGGTTCGGAATACGCGTTTCTCCATTCTGGCCAGTAGAGTCAGAGATATGGTTCGCGCAAGTAGAGGGATAGTTTGCAATTTAGAATATCATATCTATTATTTTGATTTAACAAAATTTTATTATGTTATTGGCCAACTGGACCACCAATTTACAAAAGAATTTAAAGAAATGTTTAAACTGTTTATTATATATAAATAAATATGACATTTAAATTTGTAAATATCACATTGTCACCATTCAAGGGGTAAAATAAAATAGCAGATAAAAGTTTTTATGGAAATTCGTCATATTTGAAGCTAGAACGATGAAGCTTTTTCTTACGCTTTTTTGGGTCAGTTTATTTAATAAATACCTTACTAATATTATGAAAGTGAAAGTGACTCTGTCTGTCTGTCTTAAAAGCCAAAACTTCTGAACTGATTTAAATGAAATTTAAAGTCTAGATCTTGAGATAGGACATAGGTTACTTTTTAACGGTAAAAAGGGTTATAAGAGACTGAAAGAGGAATTTTTTAAAAGTTTAATCTTCAATCTTAATTTTTTGCGTATTGATTAAATATAATTAACGAAAATGGGTTGTAATGGTCAAAAGGGGAGTTAAAATGTTATATGCATGTATTGTCATTTTTTAAAGCTAGAAACTTGAAACCCATTTTTTAGGCTGTTGAGAAAATATCAGTACCTACCGCCACAGGACTCAGCCATAAATGGTTACAGTATAGCGACATCTTATCATTGGTAGGTACATGATAACACTAATATAAGTAGCATTAAAAAAAAACAAGAAAAAGGGTTATAAGGGGTTGAAAGGGGAGATGTAATGTATGTATGGTATGTATGGAAGTATCTTCATTTTAAAGATAGTAGTTTGAAACTTAGTTTTTGGCTGTTGATTGAATTGTATGGAATTATGTATGGCAATTTCATTTTTGAAGCTAGAACGATGAAACTTTTTTATTGGGTTAGATTATTAATATATATTTTTTATTATTTGCTCAAGGTCACTATTTTACGCGGACGAAGTCGCGGGTACAGCTAGTATTTATATATTTTTAATCAACTGCCTAAAAATAAGTTTTAAGCTTCTAGCTTTAAAATGACGATACATTCGCATAACCTTTCAACCCCTTAAAACTCTGTTTTCTTTATTTATATGTAATCAATAGCATATAAGTTTTATCTTCTAGCTTTAAAAATAACGATACATCCATACAACCTTCCATCTCCCCTTTAGATACCAAATTTCATTTAAATCAGTTCAGTAGTTTTGGCGTGAAACCCTGACAGACAGAGTTACTTTAACATTTATAGTATTAGCATTATCTGTGAGATTAGTAAGGATTAGGTGTCACGTATGATATAATATCTTATGTTGGTAGGTAAATTATATACCTATATTTATTAATAGAAATTACCTAATTACATATATTATTTAGACGGTCTTGTTGGTCTAGAGGCCTAGCACACCATCTTACTTCCGATGGTTGATTGTTTGATTGCTAGCATGATGCATATTTTGTATTTATGAGTATGATTGGTCTGGGTGTTTTCTATGTACATATATATTCATATAATTTTCTACCCTACCATTGAGTTAAGGTTCCGAACATATCTACTATATAATAAGCCGAAGGTAGTGTAAGTATTCATGAAATTCAACAAAAACTGAAATGGAATATTGTAAACATTTTTCATGTTACGTAATTTTAACGGATGCTAAACAAACTTATGGCTAAACTGATCGTAAGCTGTAACAGTCGAGTTAGCATTATACAATGATAGAAGATAGGAACAATTAATGAGTAAAATAATCATATGAATATAAATACAATAAGGAGGCCTTATTGCTGAAAGCAATTTTTTCAAGGCAAACCTTAGGGAAACGGAATCAATTATAAGAGATGATGGGTGACATGCAAATAAGAGTAAGTAAAAATAATAATATAAGTAACAAGGAAAATGATGTTAGGTAATTATAATAAAATACCTTACTAATATTACAAACGCGAAAGTTTATAAGTAAGTCTGGATGTTTGTTACTCTTTTACGCAAAAATTACTGAGCGGATTTTGATGAAACTTTACAGTATCTAATGTAGCTTATATATGAGAATAACATATAGGCTAAGGCTTTAAAAAGACATTTTGTAAATTGGGCGAAATATAATAATAAATGTCAAGTGACGCAGACAAAGTTGCGTAGGTCAGCTAGTAAAATATAATATTTGATGTACTGCTACTGTATTTACAGGTTTTTTTTTAAAGGATGATAATGTAATAGTGCTCCAGCCTGCGCTAACGGTTTACGCTGGCGGGGCACCAGTAGAGGATGATAAGATGAACATGAGGTCAGATCAGTTAGCCCAACGTGACAAATTCACCGGGAATGTAGCACGATGGTTTCCAGGGATAACCGCGTGGAGGTCGATCTTTCCACATTACTAACAATCCCCTACCCCCCTGTACCTCACGAATACGTTTTCGTAACCTGTAAGTACTCTTAGCAGATGTTTCGAATATATTTGATCGTCCAGAAAAATAATTTAAACGGGCTTATTTTCTTTAATACTTAAATTATTATTATTTACCTAGATACAAAAATTTGTTTACTCGATTGTTAATGAAATGTAAAATAATATAAATATAATTATATATTTAAATGCAATATACTTAAATAACTGTTATCCTAGATGGGGTATTTAGAGACCTTCCTAACCGACGTCGTTTGTAAATCTACATTTGACATGCCCACATTTCGCCGAGTTAGCATTTTTAAATGTATATTGACTTTAGGTTGTACCGTTAGACAACGGCGACCTTAATGGTCTAAATTGGGGTAGTGAAATATTAGGCCGACGATTTCAATCATTATCGCTCGCTCAATCAAAGTAACATCTAGAAATAATTCCTTTTTTTACTGTTTATATTAAACTGCCAGATTTGTATTAAAAAATAATAAGAAAAATTAAATACTTCTTGGATTAAATATTATATAAGTATATCCACGATAAGATATTTAAAAATATTTACTAAATAGATTATAGACTATACCTATATAGAATGATTTTGTTAATTAGTTTACCCGATTGAAGCTGAGTTGGGCAGCCAGTTAAGGTTTAAAGAGGAAATATTTCATTTTTAAGAATCGATTTAAGAAATATACCTACTATAAAAATTCTTTGCAAAAATTTTACCCACTTATATTAATAGCCGTTGTTATCTTCTGTCTAAAAATGTCTTATCTGTTAGCGTGTTAAGGCTTTACGTAAAAACGGCTGGAAGAATTAGGATGATAATTTAGTTACACAGAATATATTATTAGATGTGGCCAAATTCAACCCCAAAGAGGTAAATTTGCGTTTTCTGTTATCAAAATAGTAGATTGCGTCTACAAATGTACACAGAAACTGACGAAGTCGTATGTACCACTAGTTTGCCTATAAAAGTAATTATTTGTCGTGCTCCACAAAAAATATTGTGGTTACATAACCTAATGTACTATTTATCATTGCCTACAAAAAAATTATCCAAATATACATACAAGTATGTCTATTAGATATAGTAATATCACAATAAATAGTCGATTAAAAAATTGCTAGAATTTGTTGCCTATTGCCATTATTGCACAGTAGGTATATTTTTAGATGTGTATATAAATAAGATAATAAGATATACAATGGTCAATTGGTAGAGAAGCACACATATTATTAAATGCAATAAAGAATAAATAGAATTTAATAGAATAATTCAACATTATGTGTTACGATATTATTCATTATCCAATTAAATATATTTTTTTAAGACTAACTTCTTTTTTTATAAACGGTAGTCTATCTCCTCATGGTATACTCCATCTTCATATAAAATTTGATTACGATCCGATCGACCATTTTAGTTTTGAAAAGGAAACAAATAGACACAATTTTGCATTTATAATATTAGTACTGCTACAGATAGAGTGGTAATGGTAGTTCCCATCGTAAGCCGAAAATGACGCTATTAAATAGTTAGAAATGTTAGAATGTTGAACCCTTTTCAAATCATAGCTAGAAGTCATTTTATTTACAATTTCTTGGCACTGACTTCTTTGGAAGAAATTAAATTTTTTTCCAACACTTCATTTACAATAACATTGGGCAAGCAGTATCTATTGTAGTTGCAGACCCCAACATATTTTGTATAGCGTTGAAAGTACGGTACTGTGTGTGACAGAAAAATAGATGGTATCAAATGAAGTCGGACCATTAGACTTCAGGAATATCTTTTTGATTTGGAAATCTAACCAATATTATCTACTCTTTGTTAGATTTCCAATATGTGTTCAACAACAGTGCTCATAAAGCTTAGATGTGATTCAAAAGTGCTATTTAAAAAACTATTTATAAAACATAAATATTGCGCTACCTATAATTATAATGGCGCAAAAATTTGTTCTGTGTATTATTTGTTGTTATTGCACGCTATTTTTGAAAAATTAACTATTGTTATAATATGTTTCGGTTATAACCCGTTTGCAATTTTTTCTATTTTCAAGTTTAGATATATGTGTAATCTAAGAACAGTAATTAAAGCATGGTAATAGCTCTAACATACACAAAGAGTCCTTTTAGGTCTGAAATTACAGTCGCTTAATATTATCCTAGTGATTACCTGGCCAAAAAGATAAAACGAATTATATTAGGTAGTTTGCTACTGTATAGACATTTATATGTACCTATCTACGTGATCGTCTATAAATAGAAATACTAACCACAGAACTACGTGCATATTTTTGAGAAATTTATAAATTATTAAGTAATTTGTTTAGTAATTCGTTTAATTTGTAGTAATTGGTATGTAGGTATATACTTGTGTTTATGAAGAAAATTATTAAGATTAAGATAGTAAGGAATTTCTGTAACAGTCTTACTGTAGTATTCTGTATTATACTTAGCTGTTGTACGTAAGAAGAAAAGCTATCAAGTGAGCCAGCAAGCGTGTCGGTGTTGTGACCTACCAGTGTGGGGCATAAAGCATGTGGGCATTGGTGTTGTGCTGGTTTGCTTCTCTACAGTGTGAGACACCTTGCGTTGCGCGTATTGCGCGTCCTTGGGCTCCCAGAAGAACACGTAGTAGAGCGAGAGCATGATAGCGGCGAGAGACACGCAGAACACGTAAATGATGACAGTAAGTACGCGCACGCTCTTCTTGTCACGTTTTCGCTCGTAGAGCGCGTCGAGCACCACCTCGTGTCCGCTGGACGGGCCCAGCCGGACGGAGCCCGCGCACGAGCGAACGCTGCCTGACGTGAACGATTTGGTCGACATCACCCTCGACGCCCTCCGTCCAAATGCACCGCCGCAACGCCTTCACGGCAAACCAGGTAAGTGGGGCACGCTTATTGATATGCCCCAGTTCGGACGATGCGCCGCGGGCGAGTCGCGGTGCCGGGTCACGCCGTCTGTGTCTGCTGCTTGACACCTTCTGATGCGGACTGCTGCCTCATTATTATTGTAGCCGTTTCGGACTTCATTTGTTTATCCTTTAATTTCACGCTCAGTATTACATGTGAATCTATTCCAGTTCCTCTGACGCAGCAGTACGATCGCGATTCGTTTGTCATGAACTCGTCCCTGAATTTTCATTGTTTCTCATAACGGACGATTATGTTTTCATCAAAGCATTGTTGTTATGTGTAAACAACAGTAAAATTTGTCGAACATTACGAACTTCTTTGTCTATGAAGATGCACAGGGTACATATACAGAAGTAAACGTATACATAACATAAACACTTCAACCGTTGAGTCGATTTGTTGTTGTATTTACTGTCTAATGACGCGGTTTATTTGCAAGGAGTGAAGTCGGGAATAACAATATGTAAACAAAGTTAATTTAGAAAAGGGTGACTTGTTATGATGACAGCGAGCCGGTATGCGGTGTCAGTAGAGGCGACGGCCGGCTGAGGCGGATGGCACCGGGCGGCGGCGCGGCGGCGCGGCGGCGGCGGCGCGACGCCTTCACAGCGTGCAGCGCCGGGAAGCGCGCGCCGCCGCGCCGCCCCCGTCATGCCCGCAGTTGCTACGCGAATTTCACGCGTCAGATCGATATTAAAGAAAGATTCAGATTTGTTAGCAGTACTTTCTTATGAAAGTCATGTAGGTATTTAACGGCCTACAAGAAAATGGTTCTAATTTGAAGTTTGTTTTATTCACATAATGCATTTATTTGCAAAATTTGTTGTTTTTAAAATTAAATACTTACGTATGCAAAGTATATGTACATACGTATACTAAAGAGAACGTGCAATTGATTTTGTATCGTAGTATTATCGTAGTCTCTGGAATACGTAAGAGAACATATCGTCGGTTAAATAGAAAAATGACAGTATTCAAAATGTACATTTTTACAAGACTTCTAACGTTTATTATTAATTTAAATTAATTTATTAATTTATATTAATTTTAATTTGGTTTTAGTTCAAACCCTTATTAATAATAAACAACTTCGTACAAATAACACAGCACCATCGAGTCGCAAACTAGATAGAGTGTGTTTATATATAGAAATATTTATTCACTAATATATAAAAATGCCCAAACGAATGTACCAGACATTAAAAAGAAAATAATTATTTTTTATTGTGTGCGAGGATTGAACTATTGGGAGGATTTAAGATTAAACATTAGACCACCGGAACCACTAGTCTAATCAGCGTTACATCATAATTGAAACAATTATACTCGTCTACTTTTCTTACAGAGGGGTGCATGAAAGTACATAGCCTTGCAGGCTAATGCCGGCGCCCGAGGTCGTAGATATCGCTTGATAAATTAATGCCCTGGGAATCGATTATGTCACACTGTTGCAATGGTATCTTGTTTTAAGCAGAATGAATTTTGTAAACAGTACAATACAAACCAAGTTATACTTGCGATTCGTAATTGGGACTCTCAATCTCTATGTTTTTAAACAAGATACGATTACAACTGCGTCACAGATTTAGTCGCTTTAATGTATACTTGATAGATGGATAAATAGAATATAGATACCTTATTTATAACACACACTAAGCAAAAGACGAGCAATATATGTATATGTATGTTACAAACAAAGTAAATTCTATGTACTTATCTATTAAATAATACTTAATACGAAAATGACTGGAAGGGATTTTTAGTAATGGGGTCTTTTTATAGATGAATATGACTTAATGCAACCAAATTGTATTAACTAATGGTGTACCTACATATTGGAGCTTGAAAGATGAACATAAAGTCAGGTTTAGGTTTTAGTTCAAGCACATCTTAAAATTTACTAGGAATCACCACGATGGTTTCTGGAGGGAACACGTGGAGGCCGACCTGACAATGGGGCCTACTGGTTCCAACTACAAATAATCCCCTCCTCAATAAAAGGAGTAGTATAGTAGTGACTCCATTATAGGCAATGTGTTCACGCGGTATCCTTAGAAATCATCGTAGTTAATTCTTCATTACGTAGCAGCGTTGGGCTGATATTATACCCCATTCCGTATCTATAGCAGTGCCAGTACGATGCCCCGTATAGCGTATATAATCAACGTATTTCTTTAGCTTAGATGAGTGAACCATTCCATTGCATTACATTCATTCATCAATAAATTATGAATTTTGACTTATGAAACTTGACAGCCTCGGTGGTCTAGTGGTTTAGCACACCGCTTTACTATCCGATGGTCGTGGGTTCGATTCCTCGCACCGTACAAACATTTGTATTCATGAGTATGATTGTTTGTATCGGTCTGGGTGTTTTCTATGTATAATATGTATTTATTTACAAAAAAAAATGTATCCATGTATTTATATCAGTTGTCTAGTACCCATAATGTGTTATGGGTCGCTCTGCTTAGCTTGGGACTAGATGGCGCTGTGTCAATTGTCCTGAAATATTATTATTACTCGTATTATTATTTTATAAATCTAGTTAATAATTACATACCTATTATAAATTTATAGTGGATATTAATTGTAAATTAAGGCACGAACGTACGAAACGTTGAAATTATTCACTGACGCCACTGAAAATGTAATTGACGTTCAGTTCTGGCCACAATTGGGTTAGACCGCTAATTGGATTACAGGAAACCCCTCGTGTCAAACTTAATATATTAGTTCAGGTATTTACTTGGCTCTTTGGGCGGCGCGCCGTACTCACATAAATTAACAGTGTTTTATTATTATATGGGTACCTACTATCCTTGCTTATTATTGCTTATTATATTTTGCTATTGACGATTTTTTTTCAGAGTTCAGAATTGTTGTGTTTTTATTAGGGTTTACTGGTTTACACGTGTTGAATCGATTCTTATGAATATACTAACACTCTATGGCGATTCTTGAAAATAATATTTTGTAAAGAATTAATAAGTAAGTAAAGAAACTCATAATGTGAGTAAGAATTATTTACGTAAGTTAAGTACAAAATTTAAAATCTAAAAAAATATATTTGCATCTAAAACATTATTTCAGATTTTAAACAAGTAAAATGCGAAACATTTGTTTTTACAATTTTGAGTAGGTATATAGAATGACTAACATGTAGCATGTAGGTACTTTACCTACTTATAAACGCACACCCAAAACTACAATACTCCGTTTCGTGAGCAAGATAAACAAAATATCTTTTATAATTTTTTTTCCATTTTCATTTAATTTATAACGACTGATTTTATTACTTGAATAGCAAGTACCGATATCTATTTCTTATATAAAACATTTTTTTATAGTTAAAATAAGATATTTATGTTAACATTTAAGTATTTAAATATTTAATAAGAATTAAATAATTCATTTACCGTATAATGCTGTTGAATCCACGCTGGGAATGTAATCTTTCAGTTCACTTCTATGTTTCGCGCTCAACTCTTCTGTATCATTCATCAGAGGCAAATCTGGCGATTTCCACACACAGATATAATAAACAGACAGCAAGATGGCAGCCAGGGACACCGACAATAGGTAAGCGAGAACAGTGAGTACTCGCACCACCTTACTCACTGCCTTCTGTTCATATATTTCCCTGATAGGTGCGCCCATCTCCGCTGATGCACTCGCATCTTCCGTCTGCCCGCTAACCGACATCGTGCTAGCTACATGTTTATGTTTATAACTCCACAATTTTTATATACTAGAACACTTTTTAGTTAAAAAAATAAATAGAATAGATGGGTGAGCCGGTGGCGCGTGTGGTATTCGCGGATAAGTGGAGCGATAGAGTGATGGATCGAGCACAGCGGACAAGTGGCCACGCAGACCACGTAACTCGCGAGTTACACTGCGCGGTCTCCCAAACTGGGATACTGCTCCCGCGCTAAGCCGATCAACTGAACGCGTCATGGTTGCGAAGTAAAGTTTTATGCCCTACTGAAGATGTTCGGTGTCGCTATTCGAAAATTAAACTACGGAAACACCGAAATAGATCAGATTCAGTTAACGAGATACAAATAAGTATTTTATATTTAAAGACATGAGGCAAGGTATTTTATCAACCAAATATTTAAGAATGATGAAATAAAGGGCTCATAGATAAATTGTAAATTTAATGGATTTATTTCATGACTCATTCAGGAAATAGATTTTTGAAAATATAATGTGGAGAAATAAAAAAGATTTTGCATTTGGAGGAGACTACATCAATTAGTTTTTTTTTTATTATTAGTATTTACTTACAATACAGTAAAATACTTTGGTTGCATGAACTGCAGAGAATTATGAATGAAATGATGAAAACATGAGACATAGAACATCCCAAATAAGTGCTATGTGTCATGTCGTGCCTCTCAAACAACAAAAAAAAAACATTTATAACAGAAATTTATGTTTATGTAGGTACATATATGAGTAGCCTTACTGTGGAAACGCTTTGGCTAAAGGGACTATAGTATTGAACTCTATTGGATACATGAGATTAGACATCGAGGAGTCTTTTTAATCCAACTTGGTAAATTCCTAATGACAATCTTACACGGGTACTAGCATATACATATACAATTAGCGCAAGCAACAACGTCATTTAGTCATCAACCAAAAAAGCTTAAGGCTTTTATCCATATTTTCAGTCAGTGTTAGTGTTTTATTATTGTGAGTACGAGTCTGGCATAATAATAATAAATTATGAAACAATTTTCCGAATTCCATAGCTCTACCTACGGTGCGCAGGGACTTAATCCATTAAGATAATTGGATCGGTGCCCGCAATATTATACCGATATAATGGTGATACTTGTCGTTCTATTGTCCCTTGTAAAACTATCAATCATGCTTGAGGTGTATGCCAACAGCTTCATCTGTATGTATGTGTATATGTACACCTATAGTACTTTACGGGATAAATTAATATTTACTGCAATAACCATACTATTAAGAATCGTAGTGATTGTATAACATGGGATAGGGTGATAACTACTTTAATTCCATTTTTGACTGTGGTGACCGTACCATAGATATTAGAAAAAAAGAATTTGTTCACATTTTACTCATACAATTGAAATCTAAAAAATACTTTCTCATTTTTTTTCTGTTTCCATGTACGTTTGTGCGCGCTGTCAGGTCTGGAAACCGTCGTGGTTAACTCTCAGTGAATAAATACATCACGATGGCATAACTGACCTAACGTTATCATTATATCTGTATATCAGTAGTAGGTATGTGGTAGTGAGAGTCGATTAGTATGAAAATCATGTCAGGTATATGAGTCGGCATGAAGGTACTCTTATCTGATGCGTATTATATGTATATATTATAGGTTACATTACATTAATTTGTAAAAATTTGTATCAGTGTCAAAGACTAAATAACGTGGACCGTCTTATGGTAATGATTGTGGAATTCTGTGGAAATAACTGACGATACAGATCAGCAGAACTTGAGTTATGCAATTGATAGAAATACATGTTTTTTTTTATAAGAACATAAGTACATAATATAC